TAGACACATTTGTGTCTATTGCCTCAAGCCTTCAAACCCCTAGTGCATAATTTCCTCATCACCACCAGTAACAGAAACATTGCAAATCCCATCTACATGCATAGGAGCCAAAATGATCAATAAATTGATCATGGGCCCTTAAGATATAGAAGAAGAAGAAGCCATGTTTAGAGTGGAAAATGTAGTTTAGGGGCGTGAAAGGGCGTAGAGTAGGCGTATAATATATAGCAGATAAATACTTCTCAAAACTCAATGTTAGAAATGGAAAAATCATTACATAGATACTTCTTTTTAAAGTTAACAATTGTGATGAGATTTTGAAATAGCAGGTAAAAATTATCGCAAAGGACCTACCATTATTATCCCGATAACGTCGGGTCATTTATTCTAGTATTACTATAGTTTATGCGAGTCGGCGTAAAAAAAGGGGGTGGGGATCGGAGTTACCCCTAATTGACTAATTAGGAACTTTATAAAGTGCGTTATGGTACCGTAATTGAATGTATGTTTTGTGAAGTAACTTTAGTAAATGGGAAGTTCAGGCCATTGTTTGGCGGGCCATAGTTAGTGTCTCGGTAGTACAGGCCTGCATAACTCAAAATTTTAGGCGGGCCGTAATACTTTATGAAAAACTTGTGCGGGCCGAGAGAAAATGGGACAGTGAATATTAAGAAAATAATTAATAACAAGAATAGTTCGTGACTTCGCGGGCCGCAGAGTGCTAGGTGGTCTATAGCTAGTGCACCTGTAGTAGATGGGAAGTTCACGCCTTGCCGTCTCCGTGGCTTGGCGGGCTATAGCTAGTGTTTAATTGCTATAAATCTCGTAATAATTTGAAGTTAATTAAGAGAACTTGTTAAAAGTTAAGTATGCATAATGATAATAATAATGTAAATGGTAAATGATACTCTACTATTTACTACTGGTAGGCTTACGCCTACATATTTTATCAAAAATATGTCCATCAATAAATGAACTGGCACTGCTTGCACTGCCCCGCCCCCGCCCCCCCCCCCCTTTTTTTAAAGATCTGAAGTGCCCACCCGGGACAAAGTTCTGAAATAATCATTGCTCGTACTGTCATTCATTTATTGCTGTGGTCTTTATAATTTCCATCGAATTTAAAATACCGTGTTATTGGCCACTGCTTGCCATTCCCAACACGGCAGCTGATATGTACAGGTTCAAAGAAACAGACAAGACCGGCTGTGATTCTTTTGTTTTATTTTGTTGTTTTTTAATGGGGCGATTGTTTTTGTTTGGCTTGTTTCTACTCTCATTTAGTTTGTCGCATCTTTTCGTCTCCAAGTTCAGTTGGTGTCATTTTGTTGGTGCCATTTTGTGCGGGCTGTTTTGTTGGTTTCATTTAATTGGTGTCATTTAGGTGTTGTCATTTTGTTGCTCTCATTTAGTTGGTGTCATTTAGTTGGTGTCATTTTTTGGTGTCATTTTGTTGGTTCCATTTTTTTTTTGTCATTTTGTTGATGCAATTTTGTTGGTGTCATTTTGTTGGTGTCCTTTTGTTGGCGTCATTTTGTTGGTGCCATTTTGTTGGTGCCATTTTGTTGGTGCCATTTTGTTGGTGTCATTTTGTTGGTGTCATTTTGTTGGTGTCATTTTGTTGGTGTCATTTTGTTGGTGTCATTTTGTTGGTGTCATTTTGTTGGTGTCATTTTGCTGGTTTCTTTTTGTTGGTGTCATTTTGTGGTGTCATTTTGTTGGTGCCATTTTGTTGGTGCCATTTTGTTGGTGTCATTTTGTTGGTGTCATTTTGTTGGTGTCATTTTGCTGGTTTCTTTTTGTTGGTGTCATTTTTTGGTGTCATTTTGTTGGTGTTATTTTGTTGGTGTCTTTTTGTTGGTGTCATTTTGTTGGTGTCTTTTTGCTTGAAGCGGCTTTGTCGAAACTACGAGACGAGGTCGGGCTTTTTTCTTTTTTTTTCTTTTTTAATTTTTTTTTTACTTCAACTATATTCTAAATATATTTATGTATCTACTGTCACTCTCAGATTGACACACGAATTCTAAGTGGACAAGTCACATCTACCCTTGAGGCTAACAGTTTGATTCAAGAAAGTTGTTCAAATTTTTTTTTTTTAAATTTCAACACGTAATCCTCAAATCACACATATACAATTTATTATTCTGTTTGCGTCGTCCCTTGACATGATCCTTGCATGCTACTGAGCAGCTCTGACGGCGAATTCTTGGCGTTTTACTGTCGTGGCTTGTCCGGTGATAAGCTTCTGCCATCTGTTGGCGGCTTGAAACTTGACCTCCAGACCAAGACGACTTTGGCCGTCCGAAGTTTGCGTCAGGGTCATGTTATCCTGGTCGTATCCGAGGTCGAAGCTGCAGTTTCTGTAATCGATGCCGGTGAACGTGACCTCAGTCGTCCTCGTGATTAGAATGGGGTTAAAGGTCAACATGTCGTCGTAGATCCTGCATCCGCCGTAGCCGAAGAGGATCATCTGGAGGTAGCCGCCCATGCCCGTCAGGAAGTTGGTGGCGCCGCCGCCGTCGGCGTCTTCTGACCAGACCTGGTAAGTGGGACAAAATAAGGAATCCATTTTTTTTTAAAGGAAGAAAAGCCCCACGAGATAAACCGTACATTGTAACGGAAACAAACAGAACAAAAAAAGTTATGTAACTTTCATGAGATCGAGCATTGCATCTTTATACCTTTTAAATTTAAGCCTCTAGCTGGAGAAACGGAACCCGGTAAAATAACGCGTGAAAAATTTCCGGAAGCTGCGTATAACCTCGTATACACATTACGCTTCTGGGTGGGATTCGTGGACTGCTTCCATTTCAGGCTGCTACCTAACAAGCTCGCTGCTCCTTATTCAGCGTATTAGAGTATGTTACAAATTACTCTATATGTTTGAAAGAAAGTATAGTTCAATTATGAGTTCACTGGCACTCAAAATATAATTCCCCATAACTACGCCAAATTATTATTTTTTTTTTAAATAACGCAACTGGTGTAGCGAAAATTGGGATTCTTAAATGTGCGTTATTTGAGTTCATGTTTTGTCAAGTAACTTTGGTAGATTAGTAAGTTCACGCATTGCTGTCGCCAATATTTTAGCTCTCCAAATATCCACCAACGCTTAGTTGTATTGACCCTATATGTGTGGGCTCTTTTGGCAATGTGGTGAGTACGACGGCGGGAAGCAGTGAATGAGAGCGCGACACGGTGCGCAATCGTGAAAAAAAAGTGGGGAATGGGGGGGGGGGGGGAAAACACCCCCCAAAAATTTTTTATTAAAAAAATTCCAGTCGTCTCTGAAGCTCAAAATTGTTTAAGACACTGACTATGTCAAGGTCTGTGTCTCTGTCATGGCCTCATTCAAATGTGGTATTCACTTGTATACTTATTAGAAGTTAAAACTAAGCCTCACTATCTAGGCATACATAACAAATCAGCTCAGCTCATTCGTAACGTATTTGGGCCGCGCAAGCCGTCCACGAAACGTTGAACCCCCTTTATCAATTATCAGGAATACAATTAATTATAATTTGAGAATCTCTGTTTATTTGCGCACTCAAGTCACCCTGGATTTTCAGGATTTTTTAAAATTATTTTACATTGTAAATGCAGTACTGTAAAGACCAAATGACATTTATGGTTTCTCTACAGAAACAAATAAATACTTGAAAGTCCAAATGACATGTATGGCTTCTCTACAGAAAGTATTTATTTGTTTCTACCCGAAAACAAATAGCTGTCAGCGTTAAATATTTGTTTATGACTAGCAGACATTTGCCTGACATTCGGATCCATTGTCTTTATGGCATTTAATCAATCGTGCCTCTTAAGGAAACAATAAAACAATCCTGTCAGCACCAAATCAATCATAGATTGTAACTTCGTTAGAATATCAAGAATGAAAAGAAAACGACATAAATAACAACGTGTTGTAAAATTCAACGAGCCATGACATGTAACAATCGATGAACAATAACTTGTAACTTTCAAACGAACCATCACATGTAACAATCAATGAACCATGCCATGTAACATTCAATAAACCATGGCAGGTAACATTCAGTGAACAACGTCATGTATCACATTCAATGAACCATGGCATCTAACATTCAATGAACCATGACATGTAACATTCAATGAACCATGGCAGGTATCATTCAGTGAACAATGTCATGTATCACATTCAATGTACCATGGGATGTAACATTCAATGAACCATGACATATGACATTCAGTGAACATTGTCATGTATCACATTCAATGAACCATGCCATGTGACATTCAATGAACCATGACATCTAACATTCAGTGTGATGACGCGTTCAATGAAGCATGCATTACCAGGAACGGCTGCTGGGAGTTCAGGACGGATCTGTTGAAGAGGTCAGCGGCCTTGGCTTCCTCTCCAAGTTCAAGCCACCCAATTATAAATGCGCCCCACGTCATGGCAGGAGCAGGGCCAACCGGGGTGCTCTAAAAGGGAGGGGGGTAGAAAGGTGGAGGGGGTGCGTTCATAAAATTTTTATTAATATATCGAAAGTACAATTTAATATATATTATATATACTAGAAATAATGAAAAATTGTTTCATTTCAACGACTTCTCAATACCAAAAGTAGGCAGTGAGTTTATTGTAACATTGCTCTCAGACGTCCAACCCTTGACCTCTGATTCCATTTACGTTCCTATCAATACTAAAAGTAAAAGATAAGGTTACTTTTACATGGCTCTTGGACTTTCAACTTTGACCTTTGACCCCTATATACTTTCCTATGAATACCAAAACTAAATAGTGGGTTTACTGTAACATCTCCCTTGGACGTCCAACCCATGAACTCTGACCCCCTATTAACCTTCCCATGAACACCAAAAAGTAAGTAGTGGGCATAATATGGAATCGCTCTTGGACGTCCAGCCCTTGACCTCTGACCCCCCTATAATTTACCTGCTCATAGAATATCATGTCGTTTCTCCTTGTCGTCTCATTCATGGCGACCATGAGAGGGAACCCTAGTAGGACCACGTCGGCCTGTTTAGTTCTGTCGTTCAGTGAGTAGCCGTCGAACTCCGGGTGGTAGTCGAGTACCGGATCGTACAGTAATCGAAGCTTGTCACTTATTTCAGCCCACGTCGAGTTCTCGGGCTGTAAAATACGTAACATCAGTAATCATTGGCGACTCTGTTGTGGTAGCGATTCTGTACCAAGGACGCTCTTTCTATCTGACATGGTGTGACAGTTTTTGTAATTTCTATTCATATGGTACTCACCTCTATGATAACCACTCATACGATAACCATCAATATGAGAACTATAACCATTTTTACTATAACCCATGCAAAGGATAAAATAAGTTAAAAAGTCAGGAAGTTGTTTCAAAGTACTTATTTCCAAACTCACCTGGCAAGAATCTCGTGACAGTTGTGCTCACCTGGCCGAATTTCCGTGACAGCTGAACCCACCTGCCTCAATCACTTGATAGCTGAACTCACCTGCCTCAACCAATTGACAGCTGAATTCACCTGCCTCAATCACTTGACATCTGAACTCACCTGCCTCAATCACTTGACATCTGAGCTCACCTGCCTCAACCACTTGACAGCTGAACTCATCTGCCTCAACCACTTGACAGCTGAACCCACCTGCCTCAATCACTTGACATCTTAACTCACCTGCCTCAATCACTTGACATCTGAACTCACCTGCTTCAACCCTTGACAGTTGATCCCACCTGCCTCAACCACTTGACATCTGAACTCACCTGCCTCAACCACTTGACAGCTGAACCCACCTGCCTCAATCACTTGACATCTGAACTCACCTGCCTCAATCACTTGACATCTGAACTCACCTGCTTCAACCCTTGACAGTTGATCCCACCTGCCTCAACCACTTGACAGCTGAACTCACCTGCCTCAACCACTTGACAGCTGAACCCACCTGCCTCAATCACTTGACATCTGAACTCACCTGCCTCAATCACTTGACATCTGAACTCACCTGCCTCAATCACTTGACATCTGAACTCACCTGCTTCAACCCTTGACAGTTGATCCCACCTGCCTCAACTACTTGACAGCTGAACCCACCTGCCTCAACCACTTGACAGCTGAACCCACCTGCCTCAATCACTTGACATCTGAACTTACCTGGTTAAATTCCCGTGCCAACTGATTTGCAAATCTCAGGTTGATGGAAGCTATGTTGTTGGTGTAGGCCGAATCATTGACAGGCGAGTGAAACTCATCAGGGGGCATGACCTCTGGGGAGACAAAGTGTAATTAAATGACATCTAGGGATACAAAGTGTAATTACATGACATCTAGGGATACAAAGTGTAATTAAATGACATCTAGGGATACAAAGTGTAATTAAATGACATCTAGGGATACAAAGTGTAATTAAATGACATCTGGGGATACAAAGTGTAATTACATGACATCTGGGGATGCAAAGTGTAATTAAATGACATCTAGGGATACAAAGTGTAATTACATGACATCTGGGGATACGAAGTATAATTACATGACATCTGGGGATACGAAGTATAATTACATGACATCTGGGGATACAAAGTGTAATTAGATGGCATCTGGGATACAAAGTGTAATTACATGATATCTGGCGATACAAAGTGTAAGTACATGACATTTGGGGATACAAAGTGTATAATTACATGACATCTGGGAATATAACAAGTGCATAATTACATGCCATTCGGGGGTACAACGTGTATAATTACATGACATCTGGGTTATGACGTCTATAATTACATGACATATGGGATATAACGTGTATTTACATGACATCTCGGGGTACAACGTGTATAATTTCATGACATCTGGGAATATAACAATTGTATAATTACATGACATCGGGATTCAACGTTCATAATTACATGACATCTGGGGATTCAACCTTCATAATTACATGACATCTGGGGATTCAACCTTCATAATTACATGACATCTGGGGATTTACAGCTTGTATGATTGCATGACACCTGAGGTACATTTTTGTACCACTTGGATCTTAAAATTTATCTTTATAATTACATGCATGCACAGGATAATTCACTTATTAAAAAATAATGTAAGTGTCATTGATCTACAAAATATTTCACTCACCAAAGAAACTGCAAGTGTCATAGATCTACACGATATTCTACTGAAGGTAAATGCTAGAAGTGTATTTGTGTGCTAGATGAGCTCTTTCCAAACTTTTCTTTATGGTCTGCTGGCCCTATGAATTATTTTTAGTCGTCTCAAAAGAAAATAAGCACTCCCTATACAAGTAAAAATGTAGTTTTAAAAATGGAATTTTATGGGTAGATGCCGTAGATAATTCATCATGTACGCAAACGATGTGCCGTGAAATAAACTGCTTCGATTTAAAGTTAGTGGACGTGAGTTCAAACCTTAGCAAAAGCCCAGACAAGCGAAGAACATCAAAGGCGCCCCGGGTGGATGGGACTCGTTAACCCTGGATGGCAACGTCATCTCAGAGAAAGAAGGACACTGAATTCAAACCCGGAGATCGAGTCGCGTTGGCGGTATGACTCTGAAACAATGAAAATTCAGGCAACTCCTGTGACGCTACCGGTGCCAGGCTGTATCATCCAAATATGATAACACTTTGGGTTATACAGGTGTCTAGGGAGATGGTGATTTGCTGATCAAGAACGCAGCTTATCATCTTGGAGAAAAAGTACCAGGCCTTGAGTATTTCGTCCTGCAAGGTTAACAGCAGTGCATGACGGACGGATACCAGAAAAAAAATATGTTAAAAAAGAAATCACCTACTGTATATACTGTAAGTGTCAGTTTTTGGGGTATAAGTGGCTCTTGACGCCCAGTATTTAGCTGTTTCCCAGACGATACCCGCCCCCGATGCGTTGACCATGAGTTGCCGATCCTGTGTTAGCTGCCAGTACTGACGAACCATCATGGCGACATCCCCATTGATGTGGACCTCCATGACCCCCACGGGAATGGCGGGACATGTCTCTAGGCCTAGGGGCGCGTGAAGACATGGATTAGGAGAGTCATACGGAAGTAAGACGCGACACTGGGTAACACAGGAGGTTGACATACGTGGTGTGACAGAAAAGTGGCATATGTGGCGTGACATGACGGTGGCATATGTGATTTGACAGAAAGTTGACATACATGGGCTGACAGGAAGATAGCATATGTGATGTGACTGAAAGTTGACATTTGGTGTGACAGGAAGGTAGCATACGTGATGTGACAGGAAGTTGGCATACGTGTTTTGACAGGAAGTTGACATATGCAGTGTGACATGAAGGTGGCATATGTGATGTGACAGAAAGGTGGCATACGTGGTGTGAAAGGAAGGTACATACGTGATGTGACAGGAAGGTGGCATACGTGGTGTGACAGGAAGGTGGCATACGTGGTGTGACAGGAAGAAGGCATACGTGGTGTGACAGGAAGTTGACATTCATGGTGTGACAGGAAGTTGACATACATGGTGTGACAGGAAGTTGACATAAGTGATGTGACAGAAAGTTGACACACGTGGTTCGACAGGAAGTTGACATACATGGTGTGACAGAAAGTTGACATACATGGTGTGATAGGAAGTTGACATTTATGGTGTGACAGGAAGTTGACATACATGGTGTGACAGGAAGTTGACATACGTGATGTGACAGGAAGGTGGCATACGTGGTGTGACAGGAAGATGACATACATGGTTTGACAGGAAGTTGACATACGAGGTGTGACAGGAGGGTGACATAGGTGATGAGACAGAAAGATGAAATATGTGTTGTGGTATGAAGTCTACACACTTGCTGTGGCATGAATTTTGTCCAAGTGATATTTAAGCAACTTCTTAACTCATAATAATGATTTTTTTCTTAAGTTATAAACAAAAAAATTATCTTAAGTTTTAATAGAAATTGATGGTGTCTTAAGCCCTGATCGTATTATTTTGAAGTCTTAACTAAAATTCCGATTGAATTAGAATTATATTTTGGCTTAATTCTGGAGGCTTCATCTGCTGTGGTTTATACATTGTTTAGTTCATATTATCATTTAAAGTTCTCTTCACTCGAGATATATTTCTATCTCCAGTGATCTCACTAGGCAAGTTTGCTTGATGTGTTATCCCTACATTTGAATCTTCCATGTTGATAAAAAAAAAAAAAAAGTAAAAAAAAAAAAAAAAAAACCAAAAAAAAAGAAAAAAAAAAAAAAAAAAGTAAAAAAAAAAAAAAAAACAGACCAAAAAAATTGAAGAAGAAAACGTGTCAAATAAAATCCACCTGTGTATGCTGACTCCCATGGGAAGCGCGCCCCCTCGTAGCCGCTCTCCTTGGCCCAGATCTGGGCGGTCTTCAGTGTCTTGGTGCGTGTCTCGACGATGGTGCGTCCGAGGTCCGGATGAAGTAAGGCGATGGGTGGAAACATCCACGTGTCTTGATCCCAGAACACGTGACCGTAGTAATCCTGAAAAGGGATTAATTTCAAAGATGTCATCGTGACGTCGAAACTCGTGTTTCGCAAGATGAGACTGACATAATCATCTGCGACAACAGTACTGTTTGATGACATCCACAAAACGGCACGGTCAGATGACATCCACAAAACAGCACGGAACTGCCTATGTTTATGGCATCAGCCTAGAAAAGATGACGCTATTAATAGCCTAACCCTTATAAAAGGCACGCTGACTTCCTTTTATTACCGTGCGCCAGAAGTCTGGACAAGATGATGCTATTAATAGCCTAGCACTCTACTGAACCCTCCTGACGTACGCACCTTGCCTTCTAAACCGTGTGTCATAACTCTGGACAAGATGATGCTATTAATAGCCAAGCACTCTACTGAACCCTCCTGACGTAAGCACCTTGCCTTCTAAACCGTGTGTCATAAGTCTGGACAAGATGATGCTATTAATAGCCTAGCACTCTACTGAACCCTCCTGACGTACGCACCTTGCCTTCTACACCGTGTGTCATAACTCTGGACAAGATGATGCTATTAATAGCCTAGCACTCTACTGAACCCTCCTGACGTACGCACCTTGCCTTCTAAACCGTGTGTCATAAGTCTGGACAAGATGATGCTATTAATAGCCTAGCACTCTACTGAATCCTCCTGACGTACGCACCTTGCCTTCTAAACCGTGTGTCATAAGTCTGGACAAGATGATGCTATTAATAGCCTAGCACTCTACTGAACCCTCCTGACGTACGCACCTTGCCTTCTAAACCGTGTGTCATAAGTCTGGACAAGATTATAGGCCCTACTATTTATAGCCTAGCACTCTACTGAACCATCTTGATGTACGCACCTTGCCTTCTACACCGTGTGTCATAAGTCTGGACAAGATGATGCTATTAATAGCCTAGCACTCTACTGAACCCTCCTGACGTACGCACCTTGCCTTCTACACCGTGTGTCATAACTCTGGACAAGATGATGCTATTAATAGCCTAGCACTCTACTGAACCCTCCTGACGTACGCACCTTGCCTTCTAAACCGTGTCATAAGTCTGGACAAGATGATGCTATTAATAGCCTAGCACTCTACTGAACCCTCCTGACGTACGCACCTTGCCTTCTAAACCGTGTGTCATAAGTCTGGACAAGATGATGCTATTAATAGCCTAGCACTCTACTGAACCCTCCTGACTTACGCACCTTGCCTTCTAAACCGTGTGTCATAAGTCTGGACAAGATTATAGGCCCTACTATGTATAGCCTAGCACTCTACTGAACCATCTTGATGTACGCACCTTGCCTTCTACACCGTGCGCCAATCCACCGGGAGAGAGGCCAATGAAAGGCCAGTCTTTACGGTTGCCATTGAAGGGTAGAGAACTGAAGATGTAATAGAAACAGCCGTAGTTGTGTCTAGCAATGGTTATGTCCCCTTTCACATCGACACGCCCTTTCTGCCATATTTGATTCCACCCTTGCACGTGGTTGGCTAAAAGCTGGCCTGACAGAAATTGTCGTTGTGCTGGAAAACATTTGAAAGTGTGAAGCTCTAGAGTATCAAACACACACAAACAAAACGAGTATCAAACACACACAAACAAAACACACAAAAACCTGAAGAAAAAAAACACAAGGCTTCTCAAAATTATTTAAAACAAGGCCAAATTTAAATTTATAACATTAACAAGGGGACATTTTTGCTGCCCCACCCCCCTTCCACCAAAAAAATTTCTGTCAGGGGCTCTCACCTCATTTACTTCATTTTACCCCAATTTTATTGTACCATTGTGTACTCTTGTCAAACATATAATTTATTTTATACACTATCTGCTTTACTGAAATAAAAAATTGCCAATACTCAAAAACATTTAAAAGACAAGATGTAAATGAAACCATACAAGATACGTACAACATACAACATACACACATTTTTGTGTTCAACTCCACAACATACCTTCATCGTACTCTTGCAGAACATTCTCCAGGTCGACATCGACGACCGTTAGTGCCAGGAAGGACTGGGTCGTTTGACCTGCATTCATTTTGACAATGCCCTACGAAATTGTGATACCATCATAGCTCTATAACTTGTTATTATCTATTATCGTATCAGCGACACATAGAATGATGTAATGATTTCAGTATCCTGTCAATTGGTGTCATGGAAATGTGTGTAAAGTACGAAGTCATCACTATGGGATAGTCTTTGAAACATACAAGTTTCACAAAATGTAATTGTGATCATGTTTTGTCTCTACCAAATGAACATGAATGTGTAAGACGTAAAACAGAAAGCGCCCCCCACCCGTCCCCCGTCCCCCCTAACACATGTCTACCATACCTTTAGCGAGGGCGACGTCTTCATGTAAAACTTTGTCCTTGGAGATATTTCTGGGAACTCTGCTGCCAGCGTTGTCCCAATGATAGATCTGAAGGTATAGAGAGAATACACATAAGTATAGGTCCGTCAGGAATAAGTAGGTCAGGAATAGATCAGTTAGGAATAGGTGGGTCAGGAATAGATCAGTTAGCAACATGTCTGTCAGGAATAGATCAGTTAGGAATAGGTGGGTCAGGAATAAATCAGTTAGCAATAGGTGGGTCAGGAATAGATCAGTTAGGAATATGTAGGTCAGGAATAGATCAGTCAGGATAGATCAGCTAGGAATAGGTAGGTCAGGAATAGATCAGTCAGTAATAGATCAGTTAGGAATAAGTAGGTCAGGAATAAATCAGTCAGTAATAGATCAGTTAGGAATAGGTGGGCCAGGAATAGATCAGTTAGCAATATGTGGGTCAGGAATAGATCAGTTAGCCATAGATCAGTTAGCCATAGGTGGGTCAGGAATAGATCAGTTAGGAATATGTAGGTCAGGAATAGACCAGTCAGGAAGAGATCAATTAGAAATTGGTAGGTCAGGAATAGATCAGTTAGGAATATGTAGGTCAGGAATAGATCAGTTAGGAATAGGTGGGTCAGGAATAGATCAGTTAGGAATAGGTAGGTTAGGAATAGGTGGGTCAGGACTAGATCAGTCAGGAATAGGTAGGTCAGGAATAGATCAGTTAGGAAAAGGTAGGTTAGGAATAGATCAGTTAGGAATAGGTGGGTTAGGAATAAGTGGGTCAGGAATAGATCAGTCAGGAATAGGTAGGTCAGGAATAGATCAGTTGGGAATGGGTGGGGTCAGGAATAGATCAGTTAGGAATAGGTAGGTTAGGAATAGGTGGGTTAGGAATAGATCAGTCAGGAATAGTTAAGTCAGAGATAGATCAGTTAGGAATAGGTAGGTTAGGAATAGGTGGGTCAGGAGTAGATCAGGCAGGAATAGATAGGTCAGGAATAGATAAGTTAGGAATGGGTGGGTCAGGAATAGATCAGTTAGAAATAGTTAGGTCAGGAATAGATCAGTTAGGAATAGGTAGGTTAGGAATAGGTGGGTCAGGAATAGATCAGTTAGGAATAGGTAGGTCAGGAATAGATCAGTCAGAAAGAGGTAGGTCAGGAATAGATAAGTCAGGAATTGGTCAGTAAAGGATGTGTCGGATATGAATAGGTCAGTCAAGAATAACGCAGTCAGGAATAGATCACGCAGGAACGGGATAGAGAGAAGTTAAGAGAAGGACAGAGAGAATATGAGTTCCAGAAGTAAGGTGACAGAGATACACAAAGAGCATGCCATTTAAAGGGAGGGAGCGAGGGAGTGCAAGAAAATGAGAAAGAGTGTGATAGAATTGGGGGGGGGGGAGGGGGGGCAAGGGGAGGGAGAAATCAGGGACTATAGATATTTATGTTCATATTATAAAATAGAGATGCTAAAAATTAAGTGGTATAGTTTTTATCAGTAATATAATAAATATATTCCGTCAGAGAGAATATGAGTTCCAGAAGTAAGGTGACAGAGATACACAAAGAGCATGCCATTTAAAGGGAGGGAGCGAGGGAGTGCAAGAAAATGAGAAAGAGTGTGATAGAATTGGGGGGGGGGAGGGTGGGCAAGGTGAGGGAGAAATCAGGGACTATAGATATTTATGTTCATATTATAAAATAGAGATGCTAAAAATTAAGTGGTATAGTTTTTATCAGTAATATAATAAATATATTCCGATTAATAATTCATAGATTTTAACAATACCAAAATATTTTTTTAACAGTGGCAAGATATAGATGTTTACAGTCACGTGATATAAAAGTTGGCATCAATTTAAATTAAAACGACCATCTTTGAATGTCTGATATTATCATTTACTTATATTTAGATAAGTCATATATTAGGCACACAACACATATTAGGTGACATTATTTTGCTATTTGAAAAATTTTAATTAATAACTATTCCGTAATAGGTCAATTTATCATCACAGTGTGAGAACCCCATCACCCCCCTCCCCCCAACAAAACTAAACCCATCAAACGATGCTTCTGATGAGCCACATTACCCCATCGTTCCGTTGGTGAATTCTACATCGACACTTGCTGGTCCAGTGTTGAGATTGATCATCACCTCCACGTCGGTTCCGATGTCATCTCTGGTCAAGATGAGTTCGTTGACCAGCGCACGTGTCAGCTGACGGTGAGCGTACGTTCTGAGAGACACACTCACCCCTGGTCCAGCGTGGGACTCGGTGAATACACCTGGATCATGTGAAGGAAAATAGCAGAGCAACGTATAATGTGGAAGCTTGAACCGAAAGACAGAAAAACAAGAGAGGAACAAATGAAAATAGGACAAGAAATAGAAACTAGTTAAAAACCTTAAGTGTTCGCCATTGTTATTGCCGGAAGTTGGACTGCAAAGCAACTAAAATTAAGGTAATAAATTTATAAAAATTGTAGGTGCATAATTTTATTTTTCCATGTATGATTAATAATTATTATTATTCGATATGGTCGCTTAGAGAAAAAAAAATTGCTAATTTCAAGACATGCATTTAACAAAAAAATGTTCAGAGTCATTTGTTTTAAACAAAACAAGCAGAAAAGAACCAGGGAGATAATCGTCACTGGGTGGCATTTGACAGCTTCTTGCCTTTTGATGACGATTGGACTACAGGACTACAGGACTACAAGACGACAGGACCACAGGACTACAAGACGACAGGACCACAGGACTACGGGACCACAAGAATACAGGATATCTTTTTTCTGGACCAATGTTTAAAAGAAAAATCGTAAATGAAATAGTAGAGCAAGGTTTGTTGAAGCTTGAATAAAAAGACAGGACAAAAGATATGGATGCTTCGGCTTAGAGCCTTCTCTCAGCGAATGACAACAAAAAAAAACAACTTTGGAGATATCCTTTGCTGTAATAGCTTCAGGAAAAAAAATCGTAGTAGTTTTAAACAATAAATAGAGTAATTCAAAATAATAAAACATAATGACTATCTGATAACAGGTCAAATTGGATTTGTATAAACACAATGAAGTCAAGCGACACCCACATTTGTCATTTGATTGTAGTCAACTCAACATACAAACCTCTCCCTATATCCAGGGTGTACTTCCTAGTGAGCCCCGGGGGGCTGACGGGCGTCACACTGTAGCCGGCCGTGGACGGGATCCTGGCCCTGTGGCTGGTGATGTTGGCCCCGTTGTACAGGCCGTTCATGAAGATGGTATCGCTCTGGACAACGGTCGCCAGGTGACCGTTGCCAACCTCTGGGACGTATTTCGTGTTGGCGGGCATGCTGGTGAAGATCAAGTGTTAAACAGAAACCAACACGAGGAATGGGGAACTCTAAGATGACCAGTGGCCCGAACACTAAGCGGAGAACATTGAGATAAGAGAGTCGCGGTGATGACGTAGTGGAGTAATGGTTAACCAACAAACTTAATTTTATTAGATTACATTTGGAGCTAGATGAAGTAATAGTTAACCAACAAACTCAATTTTATTAGATTACATTTGGAGCTAGATGAAGTAATAGTTAACCAACAAACTCAATTTTATTAGATTACATTTGGAGCTAGATGAAGTAATAGTTAACCAACAAACTTAATTTTATTAGATTACATTTGGAGCTAGATGAAGTAATAGTTAACCAACAAACTTAATTTTATTCGATTACATTTGGAGCTAGATGAAGTAATAGTTAACCAACAAACTTAATTTTATTCGATTACATTTGGAGCTAGATGAAGTAATAGTTAACCAACAAACTTAATTTTATTAGATTACATTTGGAGCTAGATGAAGTAATAGTTCACCAAAAAACTTATTTTTATTAGATTACATTTGGAGCTAGATGAAGTAATAGTTAACCAACAAACTCAATTTTATTAGATTACATTTGGAGCTAGATGAAGTAATAGTTAACCAACAAACTTAATTTTATTCGATTACATTTGGAGCTAGATGAAGTAATAGTTAACCAACAAACTTATTTTTACTAGATTACATTTGGAGCTAGATGAAGTAATAGTTAACCAACAAACTTATTTTTATTAGATTACATTTGGAGCTAGATGAAGTAATAGTTAACCAACAAACTTAATTTTATTAGATTACATTTGGAGCTAGATGAAGTAATAATTAACCAACAAACTTATTTTTATTAGATTACATTTGGAGCTAGATGAAGTAATAGTTAACCAACAAACTTATTTTTATTAGATTATATTTGGAGCTAGATGAAGTAATAGTTAACCAACAAACTTAATTTTATTAGATTACATTTGGAGCTAGATGAAGTAATAGTTAACCAACAAACTCAATTTTATTAGATTACATTTGGAGCTAGATGAAGTAATAGTTAACCAACAAACTTAATTTTATTAGATTACATTTGGAGCTAGATGAAGTAATAGTTAACCAACAAACTTAATTTTATTCGATTACATTTGGAGCTAGATGAAGTAATAGTTAACCAACAAACTTAATTTTATTCGATTACATTTGGAGCTAGATGAAGTAATAGTTAACCAACAAACTTAATTTTATTAGATTACATTTGGAGCTAGATGAAGTAATAGTTCACCAAAAAACTTATTTTTATTAGATTACATTTGGAGCTAGATGAAGTAATAGTTAACCAACAAACTCAATTTTATTAGATTACATTTGGAGCTAGATGAAGTAATAGTTAACCAACAAACTTAATTTTATTCGATTACATTTGGAGCTAGATGAAGTAATAGTTAACCAACAAACTTATTTTTACTAGATTACATTTGGAGCTAGATGAAGTAATAGTTAACCAACAAACTTATTTTTATTAGATTACATTTGGAGCTAGATGAAGTAATAGTTAACCAACAAACTTAATTTTATTAGATTACATTTGGAGCTAGATGAAGTAATAATTAACCAACAAACTTATTTTTATTAGATTACATTTGGAGCTAGATGAAGTAATAGTTAACCAACAAACTTATTTTTATTAGATTACATTTGGAGCTAGATGAAGTAATAATTAACCAACAAACTTATTTTTTATTAGATTACATTTGGAGCTAGATGAAGTAATAGTTAACCAACAAACTTATTTTTTATTAGATTACATTTGGAGCTAGATGAAGTAATATAAATTATATAGGTAAACTTGTTGTAATAAACTCTGGAGCTTGACGCACCAAAATAAATGATACGATACATTTATATTTAGTTTTTTTTGTTCGGAATTTATTGCATGATTTAACGCTGTTCAAATATTTAATAACCAATTTTGAAGAGAAAAAAAAAAGTTAATAATAATTTTCCATTTGAGAATTGCATTTTATAAACACTAAATAAAATTTCTAAAAAAATTGAACACTTTAAAATTTCGCATAGTGTACAGTTATAATCAGCACAGCTTTTATTTTATTTTTTTTGCGCAACTTTTGGTTTTACTTTTAGTCTTGTGTAAGGTAATATGATAAAATATACAGTACGTTTAAGACATGTGTGTGCCCTATACAAAGCGTAGATGGATTTTAAAAAAATATGTGTTTGATACATGGCCATAGAAGGATGAATGACAAAACATGGGAGAGACTGAGATTCACCTGTCACTAGTGAGCACCGTGGCATCTTCTGGGACGACACCTGGAGGTAGCGGCTGGATACGTGACATGGATATTTGAGGATTCTGTCGTATGCAAAGGACACATGTGTTTTAGTACAATGTACACACATTATTTGTAGTACAGAAAAATAGTATGTGTTGCATGTTTAGTGTTAATACAGAATTTATATTTTGTCATGATCTCTTAAGTTGACCATTAACAAGTATGTAGAAATACTGAAGCTAGGGGACTGGAGTTCAATCCCCAGAAAACGCCTAGACAAGCAAAAACAAAAACAAAATATTCCCAGCAACCCCGGGTAGATGGGACTCGTTAAACCTGAATGGCAACTCGTCTAAGAGAAGCAAACTCTGTAATCAAACCCGGATGTACAGTCCCGTTGGGGGTATGGCATTGACACAATGAAAAGTCTATCAATTCCTGTGACGTAGAACGCATAATCGGCCCAGTGAAAAAAAAAACACACACACATGCACACACTTACACACACACACACATACACATGCAGCATCGTGGACTATTTCCAGGCATCTTGACTGAGTTGATACATTCGATCAAATAGGCAAGGACGAGAGAGTGACGCTGACGAAATGAGCAACTCTCCCACACTTGAAACAAGTCAAGGCTACTACTTTTTTTTTAAAAATTGCCTCACTCATCTAAGCATGCAAAGGACGAATCAACAGCCGCCAATAATTACAACATGTCCACCTATCAGGGGCGTAGCAAGGCTTTAACAAGGGGGCAACGAAACAAAATTAAAAAGCCCCACCAACATCCCCAACCCACTAATCCCATAAAAAAAGTATAAATAATATTGGGGGGAAGGGGTGGTGGAAATTGAGTGAGCCCACTTTGACCGACATTTACTTTACTGACGTCTTCCAAAATATAAGTTTTATTTTTAATTTCAATTTCAATGTATCTTTTTTTTTAAATTTTATTCTATCGTCTGCTGAAGAAGGCATCATGCCGAAACGTCCGCTCCGTTGTCTTGTCTTTTATTTTCAAGCATAATCACATCTTTTTCCACTCTTTATTAAAAAAAAAAATACTAGTTCAGTTTTTCGGGCTATTACCAAAATGGACGCACCTGGTTATTGATGGTGAACAGACCATCGTGGATCTGTCTGTTCGATCTGTGTTGATGTAGGAGACGCTGTCCGGGGGTACCTGGAGCTGTCACTAGAGTGGCAATCGCAGCCGTGATCACGACTTGCAGGAAGGCTAAACACGCACTGAGCTTGGTCATTGTAGCGTTCGGGGGTTGAAAACACAAGTGAAACAGCCTACAGTAGAGAGAAGAGATACACACACTGGACACCTTCATCTCGAAGAACGATTTGAAGAAAAATGCTGCTTTAAGATTGAAACATTTTTTTTTTTAATTTTTTTTTTTTTTTTGGGTGGGGGGGGGGGTTAATAAACCCCCCCCTCTTCATCACAGACACCTAAGATCAGCTCGATCAGGGAGAATTATTTCTCTTAAAGTTAGAACCGAAAGATATAAAATAAATGCAACTTTTCCCCCACTCAATACGACTTTACCAGGGTGCACTCCACAGCGGTTATCCAATCTAAATGATAACTAATTAAGTCATTATTGTCACTAAATGAGTTCATTAATGTCTGATTTCTAGGCCAGAGAAATGCTTTAGTTGTCTTGTGTTTAAATTGTTATAATTGTAAAATGTTGTGTTGGTTAAAAATATGGATTTATTTATGTGCTGAAAATGAAAATGTACAATGTAATTTTAAAAAAATGTTCCATTTATTTGAATCAATAAAGAATCTTATCTTATCTTCTTATCTGATCATCTTATCTTATCTAAACTTACGGGACCGGCAAGGTTCACCACTACGCTTATTCTATTCTACAACATAGAAATCGAACTGCATTGGCATACTCGTATATGTACAAGAGTAGTGGAATGTTCTGAATATCATGTTATCAACCGCGAGAGGTATCATAGCTATAGAGCAGGTCTGCACAACTCAAAATGCATGGGGGGCATACAATTTTATGTTCAACTTGTGTGGGCTTCTAGAAAATAGGGGGGGGGGAGCTGTAAAGAAAATTAGAATATTTCGTTACATCGCGGGCCGCAAAGTGGAGGTTGTTCAACTTGTGTGGGCTTCTAGAAAATAGGGGGGGGGGGGGAGCTGTAAAGAAAATTAGAATATTTCGTTACATCGCGGGCCGCAAAGTGGAGGCTGGCTGGCTGCATGCGGCCCGCAGGCCGTTTGTTGTGCAGCCCTGCTATAGCGGGCTGATATTATTTTAGATATATTTCAAGTTAAGGGAATTTTTTAACCAAACATTTTTATCAAGAAATATAAATGTGTAATTCTTGTACTTTTTAAAAACGAATAAATTGAGTCGAGAAATACGTCACCAAAAACTACGTCACCAATTCACCAATAAGAACGTCAGCAACAACTACGTCACCAAAAACTACGTCACCAACAACTACGTCACCAACAACTACGTCACCAACAACTACGTCACCAACAACTATGTCACCAATAAGAACGTCAGCAACAACTACGTCACCAACAACTACGTCACCAACAACTACGTCACAAACAACCACGTCACCAACAACTACGTCACCAACAACCACTCACCAAAACTACGTCACCAACAACCACGTCACCAACAACTACGTCACCAACAACTACGTCATCAACAACTACGTCTTCAACATCTACGTCTGCAAAAAATATGTCTGCAACGACTTCGTCAGCAACAACTACGTCTGTAACCACTATGTCTGTAACCACTACGTCTGTAACTACTACGTCTATAACCACTACGTCTGCAACCACTACGTCTGTAACCACTACGTCTGTAACCACTACGTCTGTAACCAGTACGTCTGCAATAACTACGTCTGCAGCAACTACGTCACTGACAACTACGTCACCGACAGCTACTCACCAACAACTACGTCTGCAACAGCTACGTCTGCAACAATTACATATGCAATAGCTACGTCTGCAACAACTACTCTACTGACAACTACGTCACCGACATCTACGTCACCAACAACTAGGTCACCACAAATTAAACAAGTTGTTTTTTTACATATGATTTGTTTCAAACCAATCTGTAGCTGCCACATGTTTTTTGTACACCAAGATTCTTTGTTTAATTATAAAAATGACCCTTTGTTTTCCCGACCGAATGGTCACAACAGCATCATAACAAGATGATAGGAATGATGTTGTCACGGAGATCGAATAACACCATGATTTTGTCACTGAGACCTGATAACACGTGATTTTGTCACTGAGACCTAATAACACATGATTTTGTCACGGAGACCTAATAACACCATGATTTTGTCACGGAGACCTAATACCACATGATTTTGTCACTGAGGCCTAATAACACCATGATTTTGTCACTGAGACCTGATAACACGTGATTTTGTCACTGAGATCTAATAACACATGATTTTTGTCACGGAGACCTAATAACACCATGATTTTGTCACGGAGACCTAATGACACATGATTTTGTCACGGAGACCTAATAACACCATGATTTTGTCACGGAGACCTGATAACACATGATTTTGTCACGGAGACCTAATAACACATGATTTTGTCACGGAGACCTGATAACACCATGATTTTGTCACTGAGATCTGATAAGACGTGATTTTGTCACGGAGACCTAATAATACCATGATTTTGTCACGCAAACTTAATAGCACCATGATTTTGTCACGGAGACCTAATAACACCATGATGTTGTCACTGACACCTAACTCATAATGGATCAGTTAAAGACCTTTTTTGGTAAAATGCAACACTTGTTTCACAAAGTCACCATAAAACTATAAGGTCTGAGGCATTACTTCACTTCAAGGCAATAGCAATGTAAGGTGACGACTTATTTAGATCCACATGATTAAACTAAGAACATTGGCCACTTGCTTTTAACATAGAATCACACACAGTCAACTGAGAGAGAGAGAGAGAGAGAGGGGGTTATCTATCATAGGTTGTACTTTCTAATCTTTTCTGCTATCTTTAGATAAATTGCATTTATGTCAAGGTCAATAAGGATTTTTAATTTTTTTTTATTTTTTTTTTTTTACATTTTTTGTTGTTAAAAATTTAGAAAATAAAAAACAATTTTTAGACCAATTATCTAGAATTAAACACCACTGTAACAATGAGTGCTTGACATTCATTCAACACTTTTTTTTTTCCATAACGTCATTTTTAGTTTAATTGTCAGAGTTGGCTATGCGGGCATGCCTACAATCAAACATTGAAAAGAAGCCAGGCCAGTTGGAGGAGGCCAAGCACATATCCAGCCAGGTATAGGAGGCCAAGAATATATCCAGACCATATATTGTTATTGTTATAAGAGAACAACACTATGCCAACGTAAGTAATCAGATACCAAGAAGGTATCTACACAACATAAGCTGAGAGTATCCACTGAAGTTGCACCAGGTCACGAAGCGTGTGCAATGGGAGAAAAGTGCTACAGAAAGGGACAGCTTTATTTTTGGACTTGAAATTCTCACCTTCATTAGCCAGTATTAAAAATACCATAGCGTTATCTAGAGAAAGAGTGCCATAGCTTTATCCAAGTAAAGAATACCATAGCATTATCTAAGTTAAGAATACCATAGCGGTATCCAGGTAAAGAATACCATAGCGCTATCTAGGTAAAGAATACCATAGCGTTATCTAGGTAAAGAATACCATAGCTTTATCCAAGTAAAGAATACCATAACTTTATCTAAGTAAAGAATACCATAGCGTTATACAGGTAAAGAATACCATAGTGTTATCTAGGTAAAGAATACCATAGCTTTATCTAAGTAAAGAATACCATAGCTTTATCTAAGTAAAGAATACCATAACTTTATCTAAGTAAAGAATACCATAGCGTTATACAGGTAAAGAATACCATAGCGTTATCCAGGTAAAGAATACCATAGCGCTATCTAGGTAAAGAATACCATAGCGTTATCTAGGTAAAGAATACCATAGCTTTATCCAAGTAAAGAATACCATAACTTTATCTAAGTAAAGAATACCATAGCGTTATACAGGTAAAGAATACCATAGTGTTATCTAGGTAAAGAATACCATAGCTTTATCTAAGTAAAGAATACCATAGCTTTATCTAAGTAAAGAATACCATAGCTTTATCTAAGTAAAGAATACCATAGCTTTATCTAAGTAAAGAATACCATAGCTTTATCTAAGTAAAGAATACCATAGCTTTATCTAAGTAAAGAATACCATAGCTTTATCTAAGTAAAGAATACCATAGCTTTATCTAAGTAAAGAATACCATAGCTTTATCTAAGTAAAGAATACCATAGCTTTATCTAAGTAAAGAATACCATAGCTTTATCTAAGTAAAGAATACCATAGCTTTATCTAAGTAAAGAATACCATAGCTTTATCTAAGTAAAGAATACCATAGCTTTATCTAAGTAAAGAATACCATAGCTTTATCTNAAAAAAAAAAAAAAATACATTTAAATGTTTAAAGATTTTGGCTTGCAAAATGAAAAAAAAAAAAAAAGGCAGTTGTAAGGAGACTAGTGCCTCACATAGTGATAACTACATCGTCTTGCCTAAACGGTGGTCCTCTATAGTGTACAGTAGTACATTGCTATAGGGTTTGACAACAAGGAACACTGACTCAGTTTTGTTTGAAAAAAAAAATATATTAGTAGTTCCCTCATGGGAGCACGTGACTTGATCTGAACTGAATCGACGCCTTTGCTACCAGCCCTCTCAAATAAATTCAGCAAATCTCTAAGCCAGTGTGTCTCAAAATGTGAATTAATTACACATCAGCCGTGACTCGGGTCCTAATTCATCGATCTGTGCTAATCTTCGATCTCGGGAAAAAAAACTTCCGTCTTTTTATGTGTCCAGCATTTAGCTTCACAGCCAAACGTTCTTTTGTGTGTTTGATGGTCCGTGTTTTTATAATCAATGCTGCCTTGATTGGGTGTGGATCGATCTCCTTGATTAATTGAATAAACGTGTGCGATTACTTAGGGGCCGTATACGTTTTTCTTAGAGTTAAATGGCAGAAACTCAATGAGACAGGAAGGAATGTTGGTTGCAAAGCTTTTTGCCGCCCCCACACCTAATCTTTTTTTCGGCGACAAAACTCTACGGCTGGCTGAAAATGAGACCCCTCGATACAAAGGAAAGAAGTCCCACCTGCTGCGGATCATCCCCTCCGTCCTACCCCCTTTCTATGCCACTGGTTGGTTTTTCATAATGTAACAACTGGTCCAAACCCTCAGTTACTGTTTATAAATATTATAATGTAACACCTAGTCCCAGCTCTCAGTTACTTTTTATAATGTAACCACTGGTCCCAACCTTCAGTTACTGTCTATAATGTAGCCACTGGTCCAAACCCTCAGTTACTGTTAAAATGTAGCCACTGGTCCCAGACCTCAGTTACTGTTTTTAAAGTAGCCACTGGTCCCAGCCCTCAGTCACTGTTTTTAATGTAGTCACTGGTCCCAGCCCTAAGGAACTGTTTATAATGTTGCCACTGGTCCCAGCCCTAAGGAACTGTTTATAATGTTGCCACTGGTCCCAGCCCTCAATTACTGTTTATAATGTTGCCACTGGACCCAGCCGTCAGTTACTGTTTATAATGTAGCAACTGGTCCCAGCCCTCAGTTACTGTTTATAATGTAGCCACTTTTCCCAGACCTCAGTTACTGTTTATAATTTAGCCACTGGTCCCAGCCCTAAGGTACTGTTTATAATGTTGCAACTGGTCCCAGCCCTCAGTTACTTTTGTTCTTTGTGTTCTTATATTTGAGGGGCCCACGATCAATTTGTTGATCATTCTGGCTCCTGGTTTGAATTCAGAGTTTGCCTTCTCTTAGATGGATTGCCGTCCAAGGCTTACGAGTCCCATCCACCCGGGGTGCTGGGATGTTGGCTTTGGTGGGGATTGAACTCCAGACCACCAACTATTTGGTTTGAGACAGTTTAGACCGCTCGGCCACCCAGTGGCTACAGTAAAAACAGTACTTGACGGCTGGGACCAGTGACTACATTATAAACAGTAACTGAGCCTCTGGTCCCAGCCCTCAGTTACTATTTATAATGTTGCAACATGTCCCAACCCCATAGTTACTGTTTATAATGTTGCCACTGGTCCCTGCTCTCAGTTACTGTTTACAAAGTAGCCACTGGTCCCAGCTCGCAGTTACTGTTTATAATGTTGTCTCTGGTCCCAACCCTTAGTTACTGTTTTTAATGTAGCCACAGGTCCCAGCGCTCAGTTACTGTTTATAATGTAGTCACTGGTCCCAGCCGTCAAGTACTGTTTTTACTGTAGCCACTGGTCCCAGCCGTCAGGTACTGTTTATAATGTAGCCACTGGTCCCAGCCCTCAGTTACTGTTTATAATGTAGCCACTGGTCCCAGCTCTCAGTTACTGTTTCCACTCCGCCAGATCGCAATGAGACAAAAGAAAGACTTAATAACGAGAGCAGCTTTATTGGTCGTAACCACCTTGCCACCATTTTAATAAAAAGTAAAAATAAGCTTCAAGGAAGTTGTCATTGTTGACATCGGGTATCTGGCATCTTTAAACTTAACTGAACAACTCAGCGATTCTGTGGTCAGGTGCGTCTACACAGGTGGTTGGGTGGGGGATAGATGCCACTGGCTTTGTGTGTCATATCTAGTCAGTGAATTCTTTGCATTGCATTCCTCGGTTCTTTTAATCGACAGTAAAAAAAAAAGGGGGGGGGGACGACGACGACGACGACGACAACAACAAAAACAATAAAAACAAACAAAAAACAAAAAGAATGTGTACACATATGTTTCTCTTCATTGTTCAATGTTAAAGAACCCCAATAATATGCCGGGCTTTCTATAATGGTTGTAGATTTGTGTGTAATCACGGATCTTCTCATAATGTGGACGTTGCTTATCTCTGCCCCGTGTTTACCCAATTAAGACATATCATAATGCATCAGACTTAACTCACCGCTCGAGGCCCCCTGTCTGGCTCAGATTGTATTTGTCTTTGATTTCTGAGTGATCCGAGTCCAATTTACAAAAAACAATCAGTTGGGTTTCTGTTGTTGTGTCAGTCAGACGAAGAGTCCCCCGAATGGTCGCTGTTGTCATTGACAGAATGTTGTCAACGAAAGCTCTGAATAAATTTTGCTTGTAAGTAACCAAGAGCAATACCAAGACCATGACATTCCTAGGAGCGTGGATCGAGATTAAGGGGTGATTAAACGCTTGGAGATGGTGACCACTGAAACTGTTTCTGCTGTTTCCCTGTGAATGTTCTATGTTGCCAATAAGTAACTGTTCTATGTCGCCAATAAGTAACTGTTCTATGTCGCCCGTGAATGTTATGTTTCACTGTGAATGTTCTATATTGTCCGTGAATGTTCTATTTTTCACTGTGAATGATCTGTTTCCCTGTGAATGTTCTATGTTGCCAATAAGTATTGTTCTATGTTGCCCGTGAATGTTCTATGTTGTCCGTGAATGTTCTATGTTGTCCGTGAATGTTCTATTTTTCATTGTGAATGATCTGTTTCCCTGTGAATGTTCTATGTTGCCAATAAGTATTGTTCTATGTTGTCCGTGAATGTTCTATGTTGTCCGTGAATGTTCTATGTTGTCCGTGAATGTTCTATGTTGTCCGTGAATGTTCTATTTTTCATTGTGAATGATCTGTTTCCTTGTGAATGTTCTATGTTGCCAATAAGTAACTGTTCTATGTTACCCGTGAATTTTCTGTTTCACTGTGAATTTTCTATGTTGCCCGTGAATGTTTTATGTCGTCAGCCAATCTACTTCTATGTCGCCAGTGAATATTCTATGTTGTCACTGAATATTCTACGTTGCCAGAAACTGTTTCAGGGTTGTACTTTACGGGGATATGTATCCTTGTGTGTTTATTTCTAGAATAATTTATCGCTTAAAATATTAACGGTGTTATCGTGCTGGTACAAGCTGACAACTCATTATTGTTGGTGGGTGAAGGGTTCCCATCAGAATCACGGTTCGTATACTTGAGTAGCAAATAAATAAATATCAATCTCATTGCAACTTATGTTAGTTTGAGTGGCTAACACCCCCACCCCACCCCCCCCCCCCCCCCCACCCCCCCAGCACCGCGTCATATCAATGGAAAAACTCTCCAAGTCGGTGTTCATTTCGACAGAGTCCGCAGTGAAAACTATACCAGTCCCCTTACGTGTGCTGTGGTGTAACTTAACAACTACTTGAAGTAGCGAAGATAAGGATTTTTAGGAATCTCAAGTGTTTTTCAATCCGGGCTGCGGTGTCAAAAAATGTGGAGTCGGAACTATTTAGCTGGAATCGCAAATATTTTTTTTCTGAACTGTATGACTAACTCATTTTAACATTGATATTTTTGTAGTTTTCTCTTAAATTTTTTAAAGGTGTTTTCAGATTGTGTATCATTAGGATATACATTTTTTTTAAAAATCCTGGACAATGTGAATTCATTTACCGGAACCAGTGTAGCAGACCTTATTAAGTCAGGATATAAATTATTACCAGGCGCCACTTGCCTGGTTGGGGTGACATTCCGTGTTTTGAATATCTCGGCTGGAACTCGGAAGAAACGAAACGACTGCTCGAATCACGTAAGCAAACCCTGGCTAGCGAGTGACCGCGTGTTGAGGAGTACAGAACTTTGTGACAGAACAACCGATGTTTGTGTGAGGAGGGACTGCGTAGGATGTCCAGTTTCGAGGATCGTCTGGTCGGCCTGATATCCTCACCGCCCGAGGAGCGTCGGGACGTGGACATTGAGCTCGCCGTGCCGTGGTTGCGGAAGAAAAGCCAGCTGTTGCAGTCTCTGGACAAGGGTCAGTTATAGTTGTTTTCTTCCATATGGTTTAGTGACTTCCCATTAGAAGCACTGGTAAAGCAAGAAGAAGAAAAGAAAAAAAAACACAGGCGTGGGTCTTCAGTCCTAAACATATTATTACAAGTAAAAGCAAAATTCAATTCAAATTTCTGCTGGACATCACCTCCAGGCATGGCGGTTATCTCTCACATAAGATAGGTGTTCAATTCATGTTAAAGTAAACCTTTTGCTGATATTTAAGCATTAAATTTATATGTTGTATAAGAGATTTCATATAGATGTGAGCCCATTTCGGAATCACCCACCAACACACACACACACACTCACACACACAACGCACACATGACTCTCTGATTTCCTCACAGCTGACTCTTCTTTTAAAATATATCAATTTCCTTTAAAAAAATACGCTAAGTTTCAAATTCACTCTGCACATGGAAATTTTCACAACTTTACTGTTCCATCCTTATTGTAGTAATGCGAATGTTGTTTGTATATTAAGTAGTCAGATGTCGGTAACAATTTTGGATGTTATAAATAAGTTTCAAATTCACTCTGCAGATGGAAATTTTCACAACTTTACTGTTCCATCCTTATTGTAGTAATGCGAATGTTGTTTGTATATTAAGTAGTCAGATGTCGGTAACAATGAAGGACGTTGTAAATACAATTTTTGATACCTGCTTTCCTGAGATTGTTTAGGGTGGAGGAGATGCATTTTGGGCCATAGCCAATATCTGCATCCGGAGATCTGGGTGTTCCTATGGAAAGTGTCTGGGATGTGAACAGGTTTAATGAGATGGCGCGTGTTGTTTGTGTTCCGTACACATCATTAGTCAGAAGATGGCCGCACCACGATGCGGCCCTGTGCGGGAGACGTACGGCGCTGATACAGATCGCCCATGTGTCTGCTATTTACAAAATTGATATGGCCCTAGAATTCGATTTTACCCAGACTGCGCTCAGATGTTCTTATGTTACAATCTATAATGTGCGCAAACTACGATATTTTTATCACACGCATTCTCTATAAATTATTTTAAAACAATTTATTGTTATTATTTACACGATATAATGCAGGAACAGACCCTCTTGTTGTAGATTGTTTATTTTTCTATTAATTGCTGCCAAAAACATTAGGACACAACCTTTGACCTTTGTAGAACCAAAAAATATGGACTTTTGTTTTATACGCCTAAGGTGTAGTTTGTAAAAGTGCGTGGGAAATAATTTTAAACTCCGTCATAAGAAGTGAGTTTCATTTTCCTTTATTATTACCTCTAAGAATGAAAGACAATGCATTTTGAAAAGGTATTGTAATCACATGGAAAAGGTATTGTAACCATATGGTGAACGTATTGTAACAATTTATCGGTATTGTTTGGCTGTTGCAGATATTCTGAGGGATGTTGTCAAAAACTGCTTGTATCAGCAAATGATCACCGACGAGATTATCATACGACAAGGGGATTATGGGGACAGGTAAGTTTCCGGTAAAATGGAGGCGGGCGACACATCCGGTTACTTAATGTTGCTCCCGTTTTCCGTGTCGTTTCGGTTTGTTAACAGAAACATATTTAAAATGCAGATTCACTTTCATTGCAGTCAAACTATACGTTTCGTTTTTGGTGTTGTTTTTTTTTACATTTTATGCAAGATAGTTTCGTGTTATTCGTTGAATTTTTGTGACCTATGTACTTTGCACAAGAAATCTGGCTACCATGCATGTATTTGTTATTATACCATAACCTTTGATGGACAAAGAAGGACTCGTTCTCCGCTCAACAGATTTTGTGTGTCTATGCTTACACGAAACCTTTGATGGACAAAGAAGGACTCGTTCTGTGCTCAACCGATTTTCTGTGTCTATGCTTACACGAAACCTTTGATGGACAAAGAAGGACTCGTTCTGTGCTCAACCGATTTTCTGTGTCTATGCTTACACGAAACCTTTGATGGACAAAGAAGGACTCGTTCTGTGCTCAACTGATTGTGTGTGTCTATGTTTACACGAAACCTTTGATGGACAAAGAAGGACTCGTTCTGTGCTCAACAGATTTTCTGTGTCTATGCTTACACGAAGACGCCGCTCATTTTAAAACAAGTATGATTTTTTTTTTAAATGACTGCAGGTTCTACGTCATCTTGACTGGACGCACATCTGTCTACATAGACACTGTCAAGTCTGATGACGACAGCGGTAACGACGTCAATCGCGATGATGCAGCGGGCGAGCCGCATGCTGCAGGCGATGGAATCAAAGCCGAGAACAAAGCCCTGGACAGGACACAGTTTGGGAAGTTCATCACGCATTTCGGTCAGTCGCTTAGTCAGCTGGAAGATTAATAGGGGCAGAGGCGTAGCCAGAGTGTTTGGCGCCCGGGGACAAGATATTGGCGCCCTCTTTCTAGACTGCCGATCAGGGACATCTGTGCCCCCCTCCCCCCCCTCAGTTACACCTCTGAAGTAGGGAGAAGTGGACAGAGCTGGGTGAATCTAGGGAGAATCTAGGGAGACGTGGAGTGAGCTGGGATAATGTTTTGGGACGTGGTGAGCTTGGAGAATATAACATGACATGGAGTTAGCTGGGAGAAAATAGGGAGAAGGGTCATGATCTGGGAGAATAAAGAGATACGTGCAGTGAGCTGGGAGAAGATAGGGAGAAGTGGAAAATGTTTTTGAGTTCGAGTAATTTATAGATTTGGGTTGGGGGGGGGAGGGGCAGTTTTATCTAGAGATTATTCAAGGCTGAGGGGGATTGCGTCATAAAATGACAGCACCAAGAGGGGGGATGGGCGATCTCTATAGATACTATAATATATCATTCCTCCCACCTACACGACAGTGAATACTTGCTCAATGAAAGTTGATGTGTTCCTATCACCACAGGAGATGGCCAGAGTTTTGGGGAGATAGCGTTGATACGAGACGACTGCGTCAGGAATGCCACCGTGATGGCCGACAGCGAGTGCGACCTGCTGGTCATTCCTAGGTATCTCTATAACACTTCCATAAAGGTAAGAGTAGCAAGCGAGATATTCCGACATTGACCTTTCAGATCTAGATGATCAATAAACTGCACCCCCTTTCCCCCAGAGCAACCGGTCTCCAAACCACTACAGCTGGAATCATAAACTTCAGCTTCAACAAAAGTTGAAATTTACACATTATTTTTCCATGGCTTAGTGCTTACACGTGCTCAGTGAACTTGTATTACTGCATGACGTGTTTCATGACATGATTTGTATCACCACATGACTTGCATCCCTTCTTGACTTCTATCACTACATGACGAAAACGAGATCCAAAGTCCTGCACATTTAAGTGAAAAAGTACAACGTGAAAATGACAAACATATTTGATAATGCGATTATGTTCCCTCGAAAACGTCTTCACTTTCTTCTGTGACACGATCTTGGTATATATTAGTAATTCAAACACAAAAAAATTAAAGTTAACAAATTGTATCAAGTATTTATTATCAGCTAACAGTTCTTCACAATTTACAGCAACTCAAACTTTAAAAACCATTGTTGTTGGGTTTTATTTAATGTTGGCCTAATTAATATATTTTTTAAAATTTAAATTCTAAAAAAAATCAAATATTGAATGGCTTTGAGAGCGAACAAATATGTCATTTCCAAACTGGTTAATTGGTGTTCAATCACCAGGATAGTTCTTTTAAGCTTAATTAACCCCTATGGTTCGTGCTTTTATTCCCCCCACCCCCAAGCAAACCTCTAAAAAACATACCTTATGATTTCATATCATAGACAGATATATATATATATATATAATAAATACGTGTTTTTTTTCTTTCCCAATGTTAATTTTGTTACCAGGAGAAATGAAATAAGTCAGAAAAAAAACAAAAACAAACTTTGGCGTGGACGATGGTTTTTATTGACTCTCCTTCCTCAGATTGAAAGCAACTGATTCCTTTCTCCCTGAATATATGCCCCTCCCCCCCACCCCACCCCGGCCTCCATCGACATTAATCGTTAACCTATTATCCGAAATAAGACAGCCAAGTGACCCCCAGGCAGCAGGGCTAAAGTCGTTTATGGTCATCCCCAACAATTGGCAATTACCAGGGTAGATTGCATTTTTGGGGCAGGAAGTTTACATTTAAACTTATATGTATAAAAAAACAACAACAACAAAACCTTGTTTAGTTATCGGCAGGTATGTCATTAAAACATAATGTCTCTCTAAAAAAATGTAAAACCTGCGCTTCAATGGGAATTAAATTATAATGTTGCTCTAAACATTAAAACCTACACTTCATTGGTAAGTTCTCCGTCTCTTTATAATTTTTAAGCACATGGTAATAATGAAATACAATTATGGAGTTAAGAGCGTATATTCATTGATAAGACGTATCCTAAATGAAAATTAATCTTTAAAATGTTCAATATCTATTTAAATATAAATGGACCTCCCTGGTCTTGACTGCGAATTTTTTAATTTTTTTTTAAAGACCCGTCAACTGGCCGAGTACGAGGAGAAGAGAAAGTTCGTGGAGACCTGCACCCTGTTCCGCGGTTGGAGCACCAAGTTTAGAAACCTGCTGGAGATGAGCCTGACCAAAGAAACCTACCCGTACGGTTCTACCGTCGTCAAACAAGGCGCGCCGACCACGGGACTCATCTTTATCATCGGGTACCTTTTGTTTTCTTATTATTTATATGCAACCATAATCTCATTACAAATAAACCCTTTAACATGTCTGTAATCCTCAAAAATCAACACGCTTCCCTTCACAAAGATAAATCAATAAGTTCATCTTCTACTCAGATTTAAATGAAACAACCCTTAAAACTAAATACAAAGTAGTTTTTTTACAAATTCTTTATATGCATTTTTTAATTATTTTTTTTGCATTTATGTAATCTATGTGATTTATTATTTATGTGAGTGTAGCAAATGATTTTCGGTAAGAGAGAATTGGGTTTTTTTTTTATAAACTTGATGCATATAAAAACTAATAGACTAAAGATGCATTTAAACCCTAAATACGTCCGAAATACAAGGCACTTTGCAACAGCTACACAGTTAATCTCAACACCAAAACAAGCAACCATTGAACAAATCGTATTTTAATCATGTTCCCCTTGAAAAACAGGAACAACTGATTTTTGGGGGGTTGGGTTTGGGGTGGGTGGGGCTGAAAATCTGATAGATTTTTTTTTGTCATCGACATCGAGTGTGCCAAGTTTCAGTTCGATAGGATGACGGGAAGTGGGTCAATAGGCCATCCGAAGATTTTTTCCAGAAACACACGAACAAAACCCATCTAAGAGAAGGCAAACTCTGAATTTAAACCAGGAGCCAGAATGATCAACAAATTGATCGTGGGCCCCTCAAATATAAGAAGAAGAAGAAAAGCGAAGTTAATGTATAATATTTTAAAATAACAAAAATGCGTTCAAAATCACAACACGGCTACGTAACACTGTAGATATTAATAAAAATGACGTAATTCTATAAAGTCGATGAAGTTTTTTAGAAGAAACAAATAGTTTATAAGACGTTTGTTAGAGAAAAGAGAAGAAGCCCTTTCGTACAATTTTTTTAAATTTAAAATCTTAACCAAACAGACATCACAATTAAGGGAACACCGCCAGTGAGTGAAGTGAATTGCTTAGTTTCACTAGCTGGGTTAGTAATGCAGGCCACGTTGTTTCGCGTGTTAACTATTCTTCCAATTCCCTTTCTGGAGCTCCATTTCAAATGTTACTGCCAGGTCCTCAAATGACAATCACTTACTGCATCATCTAGATGTTATGAGGTGTGCGTTTGATGCGAACGTGATCAAGCGCCCAAATTGGGGTGTGGGTGGGGAAAAGCAGCGAATAAGAGCGCAGCACGGTGCTCAATAAGAGCAGGGTAGACAAGAAAGATCCACTCAGTAATTATTATAATAGACAGGCTACTTGGTTTTTTAAATGCATAAATGAATTGAAACTGCTAATGGGTCTGATTTGTGTTATTTCTACCACGACCCCAATGATTAAGATTAAATATGTACATGTTGTATGTATGTGTATGTATACATATATGTATAATTTTTTTATAGTAAATATTGTTTCTGTTAATCTGTCTCTTCTGGTAAGCTCTTCGGGTATCGTCAGTGTAACAGTTTTCTTATTTTTTTTTATCATCTTATCTTCTAGTGGTCAAGCGAAACTGACCGTCGAGCCATCGCTACACAAACATCAGTACAGTAAAATAATGAGCAGGCACGCACAGACAAATTTCTTACAGGATCAGTGGTGAGTCATTAAGGGCATTAGCCCCAACTTATGTCATCTTAACCAATCTCTCCACACAGCCGACTTATGTCCCCTCAACCCATCTCTCCGCACGACTTACGTCACCTCAACCCATCTCTCCACATAATTTACGTCACCTCAATCAATCTCTCCACACAACTTACGTCACCTCAACCAATCTCTCCACACGGCTGACTTATGTCTCCCTCAACCAATCTCTCCACACAACTTACGTCACCTCAACACATCTCTCCACACGGCCAACTTACGTCACCTAAACACATCTCTCCAAACGGCCAACTTACGTCACCTAAACCCATCTCTCCACACGGCCGACTTACGTCACCTCAATCTATGGAGCGTCTCCATATCCGACTGACGTCACTTCAAGCAACGATTGTCTCCTTAACCCGACTTAAACGTCGATCACTTTAACAAATTAATGTCTCCCTACGCCGGCTTACGCTACTTTGACCATTTTTTCTATGCCCCGACTTACGCCACCTTAACCCATGACCGCCTCCTTACACCAACTGAGGGGCAGTGCACATATTACATTACACAAAATTATGACATGTCCGACATGTTATATAACATTTCTAGCAAACTCGCCCCCCCCCCCGATAAAACCGAATTAAGTCTACACAAAAAAAACAAACAAAAAAAACAGATTTATTTTAAAACAAACTAATTATTGCAATAAAAAAATACGTTTAAAAAATTAACTATGCTAATTTATTTCAAAAACTAGAAAAGCAGATTTAAAAAAAAAAAAATAACAATTGATTTTAAAAAATAAAATAAAAATAAGTGTTATATTAAATTGATCTCCACCCCCAACCGCACCCCATATAACACAAATTTAAAAAAAAATAATAAACCACCCCCTACCCCCCTTCGCCTTATATAATATGTGCACGGTCCCTTACGACACTTCAACAAAATACTGTCTCCATTCCCCAACTTCCTTATACTTATACCCCGTGGTGCACGTGCAGCCAACACATCCACACACAAAATGTGAATTCTGTTTGACTATTAATGAATTAATGACGCTTTGCATTCAGGACAGTCCCGGATACAGAGTCTGGCAACCATCAAAATGGCAAGGTTCAAAATTTAACAAGTGACCAGATTTTCGTAAGGCGCAGACTGGGCTACGCAGCGGCAGAGCGGCGCATCAGGTCCAAAAATATTCAAGTCTGCTGTATAGAAAAGGGAGAAGTCATTGGTAAATATGATATTACCTTTGATTTTTTTAATAAATTCATACCGGTACAAAAAAATAGTGTGGTGGTTTATTTTATGAATAGCTTTGCACATGTTCGTGCCGATGTCAATTAATGCAAAATAAATAGTCTAGTAGATGAGATGTCCTCCTGGGCGGAACTTTTTTTTTAAGGGTGTGGAGGGGAGTTTGAAAAGTTGACTAACCATTAGTGAACCAAGTGAAAAGTTAACTAACCATTAGTGAACCAAGTGAAAAGTTGACTAACCATTAGTGAACCAAGTGAAAAGTTAACTAACCATTAGTGAACCAAGTGAAAAGTTAACTAACCATTAGTGAACCAAGTGAAAAGTTAACTAACCATTAGTGAACCAAGTGAAAACTTAACTAATGTTAAAAGCCCCAACAGAAAAGTAAATAAAACCATATTTTGTGCGGCACTTTATTGAGAACCATTGACATGCTTCTTTTTTGCAATTTCCACAAACAATTTTGATTCTCTTTTTAAATCAATAGCCCTTTGTTTCGAATTGGTGTAGAATAGAGTGTTCATCTTAATCAGCGGTTCTCAACCTGTGTGTCACGACCCCTTCCGGGCGTCGAACGAAACTCACTCAGGGGTCGCCTAAGACACATTCTTATGAAGTAGCAGCGAAAATAATTTTATGGTAATGGGGGGGGGGGTCACCACAACATAAGGAACTATATTAAAAGGTCGCGGCATTATGAAGGTTGAGAACCATTGATCTATATTAAACAAAAGTACAAACAAAACAACAAGAAATTATTATGAATGTTGTCTCCGTCACCCAAAAAAAATATATTTCATAGCCGCCAGTCCTAGGCATTGTTCTCATTTACATGTTCCAACTGTTTGAGAAATGTATTTGCACCGCTCCAGGTGACACAGAAATGGTGCTCGACCTGCCGACCAACACAGAGACCGCAGTCACCACCGCCCCCACCACTGTCTTTGTCTTAAATACCAAAAACTACGAGAGGTTGGTCACCAGGAAACACCCGGCCATGGCGCTTCACCTGGCCCAGTGGGCACTTAATGTAAGTCATGTGGGGCGCCTTGCCACTGTGTGAGTGGGCCATGAATAGGAACAAACTTTAGGTCATGTGCATTGACCTTTGACCTCTTAGTTTATCAAATGGTTGGGTTCATAGGTGCTTACTGGGAATACTTTTCTCTGGTGCTGATTTAGTTAAGTGCAATGCATTATGGTTAGATGACTTGAGAGCTCGGATCATTGACCAAAGCTTAGGGCATCCGGTGCCACAAATTGCATCGCTCAATCTTACCTCCAAAATTTTTCAGGTGGTTTTCAAAGTAATTGGTGTTACAAAACATAACCTTTCTTTGGCTGAAGTGAAGTTTAAGACCCCTGGATTAAGATCCGCGAGTCCCCTGGATTAAGACTCGTGGGACATCTGGATTAAAACTTGTCGAGACCCCCCTGGATTAAGACATGTAAGACCCCATGGATTAACCCCTGTGTATCGCCATCCAAAATCCACATGTTTATTGTTTCAATCTTATTTCAGAAAATCGTGGCACGTTCTAAAAACTCCAAGGCCAGAGAGATTCCTCTCCTACGGAGCCTCGAGGCTGAACTCCGAGAAAAACTTCCCCGCGAGGCCATCCCCACCAGGACTCTGGAAATCCTGAAGAAGAAAGAGGTTGAAACGGCCCAGCTGTTAAACCTTTACCTGCAAGACAAAGCACCGCTTATAGAGCCGTGCGTGCCAAACGCCATGTTCTTTAAACAGAGGTCTCTGCTTAGAAACAAAGAACTCCCGCCGAACGCACTGTCGCGGCTCAGAAGATTTAAAGACGCCGAGCAGCCGGTGAAACTACTGAGGAAATTCCCAAGAAGTCGCCAGCAGCTGAAAAACAACATCGAGGCGGAGAGAGAACTGCTGCGCGATGACCAAAGAGAATCCGCTGACCTAAACCTGAGGATTCGCCCCGCCACGACAATAGGGTTTACCAGACAGCAGACGGCGCCGGCTGCCAGAGAAAGGCCGAAATCCGCCCTGAGTCAGGCGATGACGATCAAAGAGTACCTGCAAGGTGATGGAAGGTGCGGGCGGGTGTTGAATCTGGAGCGCTGTAGAGGGCTGGACAGAGAGTCGGTGGTGGAGATATTCGAAGAGATGCAACAGCTGAGAGAGGAGAGCGTGGAGCATCGCAACAGGATAGTGAAGTCCGCCTCGGCCAAGATCAGAGCGAAAGAAAAGCAGCATCATTTCATGAACGGTGATTTACAAGAAGATGACGAGAATTTTGACTGGGAGACCAGCGAGGCCAACTTAAAGGATCTAGAGAAAAGGGTGGCCAGATTTTGTCATTCTGTTGGCCAAGTTTCGAACTCAAGTGACGCTTTGACGGCAAGCAAAGGCATTCCAACGCTAAGGCGATTTCAGATAGTTGTAAGTAGCACTCTAAATCTCTTAACACTCTACATCTAAATCTCTTAGCATATTTTGACTTTTTTCCCCCCTTAAATACCGGTATGGATACAAGTAAATACAAGCAGTACATTTAATGTCTTCTCGTGTGTAGTCAGTGACGGAGAAAGATCTACCACACGGCTGTGACAATGGAACATAAGCGTCAAGACATCTTTCTAGCCAAAAAATATTTGGCTTTATTTCGCCAAGTTCTGCACACACATCAATCCGTGACTACAATTAAATTTATAACAACATCAACAGACTACAATCAGTGACCACAATTATGTTTATAACAGCATCAACAGACTACAATCAGTGACCACAATTATGTTTATAACAGCATCAACAGACTACAATCAGTGACCACAATTATGTTTATAACAACATCAACAGACTAAAATCAGTGACCACAATTATGTTTATAACAGCATCAACAGACTACAATCAGTGACCACAATTATGTTTATAACAACATCAACAGACTACAATCAGTGACCACAATTATGTTTATAACAGCATCAACAGACTACAATCAGTGACCACAATTATGTTTATAACAGCATCAACAGACTACAATCAGTGACCACAATTATGTTTATAACAACATCAACAGACTAAAATCAGTGACCACAATTATGTTTATAACAGCATCAACAGACTACAATCAGTGACCACAATTATGTTTATAACAACATCAACAGACTACAATCAGTGACCACAATTTTGTTTATAACAACATCAACAGACTACAATCAGTGACCACAATTATGTTTATAACAACATCAACAGACTACAATCAGTGACCACAATTATGTTTATAACAACATCAACAGACTACAATCAGTGACCACAATAATGTTTATAACAACATCAACAGACTACAATCAGTGACCACAATTAGGTTTATAACAACATCAACAGACTACAATCAGTGACCACAATTATGTTTATAACAACATCAACAGAACTCAATAATATCAACAGAACAACTCTTCATAAAAAATATTTTAATTCCCACAAATGTTAATATAAAAAATCTAATTTTTGAAGCATCTTGGCACGATATCAATAGAAGACCTAACTACTACTATTTTTGAATGATGAGAGCAGGTTGGAAAACTAAAATCCCCAGCCCGTAACATTCTAGTCTCTCCAACCACCCCCCCCCCTTTTTCCTATTCCACAGACTTTAAGTATATCCACAAATGCAGCTGTATTTCAGTGCATGGTATTCCACTCTTTGAATGTATCCACAAATACAGCTGTACTTCAGTGCATGGTATTCCACTCTTTGTATGGGGTTGTCTTATTATTAATATCCTTTAAACAAAATTCTTAACCAATGTTCTCACATCATACAATTCAGGATCCAAAGAGTGTCCCACTGCCTGGAGGCACCGTGTTTGTTCAAAGCAAGCTGTGTCAGTTGTCTAGTCCAGGCTCCAGCCGGGCCACCAGCAGGGCCACCAGGGACCATCATCATGTCAGGTGGTTTATTTTGTCCACAACAAATGAATGATGCCATTAATACAATATTTGGACATTGACATGATTTAGTTTGCTCTTGTTGGAGAAGTTTATTTCCCCTGTTTTTACAATAGTGAAGGACATCAATTAAAAATTTGATACAAGTATTGTTGGAAAAACAACAAATTTCAGATTAACTGTGCATTGTTGGAAAAACAGCAAATTTCAGATCAACTGTGCATTGTTGGAAAAACAACAAATTTCAGATCAACTGTGCATTGTTGGAAAAACAAAAAATTTCAGATCAACTGTGCATTCTTGATTTTTAAAAAAAAAGTATGCTATTAAAATCGAGGTACTTGTTGATCTTCAAGAATCTGAGAACTTGTAAAGCTAAAACTAGAAACTCAGTGAAGGAAAATTGGCGGGAATGTTATTACTGCTTGTAACAAATAGTTGCATCCATTTAACAGATACAAAGATGTACGGCCTACAGAGTGACAAACCTATTTGAAAGCAAGTTTCTGGGCAGAGGACACAATCAAAATTGGAGTCAAATCTTAAAAATCAAAATATGGGAATCAAATCTTTTTAAAAAAATGACATCACAGAATGCAAGAGAAATAAAAATTTATTTTCAAGTGGTAATTAAAGTTGCATTTTAAAGCTTTCGTGGAAAACACTGTCAATCCATCATGGAAAGATGAAATAATGAGAATAGGAGTCACAAGGGATTATTATTTGATGAGTCATCTATCAGCAATGTTATGTGTCGTGGCTGGGTCATGATGAAGTTAAGTCGGCATGCCATGTGGTGAACAATTAAAAGCCGTGACACTGACACAATAAAAATTACGACAACTCCTGCGACGCGGAACGCATAAAGTGCACAATGAAACACACAAGACGCACACCGCTGGTCATCTACTGCATCCTGGTCTGTTTCCAGGCATCTAGACTAAGTCTTGCCATTGGGAAAAATGGGCAAGGACGCAAGAGTGTTGCCGAGGATTGAGCAACTCTCCCTCACTTTAAAACAAGATACAGCCCAAGTGGAGGCCTTGGTCATCTTGGCATGCGTAGGCCCAACGATAAGAATCATGTAAAAAACAAACTAAAGACTGTAGCACCCATCTCAGATGGCCTAACTCAGTGGCTGTTGGTAGAAATCGTCCTGGCATTTCAAAGACTCAAGACATGATAAAAAAGGATGTTTCAGAAAAAAAAAACTAAAAATACATGAAGAGAGAAAGAAAAAAATGATTGCATATTTTATTTCTAATGCACACTTGAGGCCATAAGCTGCTATGGGTAATCATTTATTTTTTTAGAGACGGCCATTAACCAGAACGTGCAAATGTCATCGTTAAAAGTCAAATAGGTCAAGCCACTTGATGAAAATATAATACATTTTCAAAAACATATTAAAGGAGTATGCTATAAATTCAAATAAATAGATACAATTTAAATGACATTTGCAATAGTCTAAGAAATTTACAGGAAGGTAATTAAAGAAATTACTAAAAAAATTAATTAATTACTTTAAAATGGCACAAATGCAAATATCGATTAATTTAGCTATTTCCTTATACCGAAAATTACTTTATATTTGTTAAAATGTCATTTCATTTAGGCTTTTAAACTTGTACACTGCCTACATTTTAAGCAAAAACAAAAAAATATTTTTTAATCGCCTATCAAATCCCATATAATGCATTTGACCATGTCATCTTTATAACGCAGCGACATAAGAAACAGCTGCACTAGATTAAGAATAGAAATGTTCTTTTTTTTGTTTAAAACAACTACATTTTTACTCAATGAACATCAATGGCAACAATTTCTTAATCAACAAAAACATAATTTTTAATGAGATCATTTTCATTACAGTGGGAAACGGAAATAAACAAATCATGGACAAAAACAGTCCAACTGGTAAATCCACATCGAGTTTAAATTTTCAATAACATATGAATTTTTATGACTCCGCATGTTCTGGAATGAACCAGTTGTGAGGACAAAACAGACGGTTGCCGAAAATAATCTTTGCGATAGGGACCGAGGTCACCGGCATGCACACCAATTTTTCTGGAAAATTTAGCTCTTTAGAGAAACAGTTTCCTCCCCTCTAAGTCAGTTGAATGGCGGCTTAAGGCATTTTTTTTAAATTCCAGATTCTCCCCCATCTAGGGTCATACTCAATCCCCCAGCAGCAGCATTACTGCTGCAAGAAGTTATGGGGCTAGATGCCGGCAGTCGAGGGGTGGCTGCGTCACCACTAGGTTCACCTAGGACGCTGGCATCTGTCTGATGAGGTGGCGGACATTATGATAGGCCAGTTTCCTAAAGTTATCATTAAATCCAGGCAGATGCTTATACATAGGATCTGGTATTGATGCAACAGCACATTCATCTCTTCACAGTCCAGGCAAAAAACAAACATTGTGGAATATTCTTGGCATTATTTTGTTGTTTATATTTTCCCCAGAATTTAAAAATTTTCTTTTTTAAGAGTTTTGTGATTCTTGATGAGACCCAATAACATCAGGAAACACAAGGGGCTGCTGGTTGATTTTTCGCTGAAATGACTGAAGCCTCAATGCTGAAATGACTGAAGTCTCAATGCTGAAATGAGTGAAGTTACAATGGTGAAATGAGTGAAGTCACACTCTGCAGCAATTTCAACACAGGGAGTAGTTGTTTAAATGTGTTGCATATGTTCCTTCTCTATGTCCCATGTTATGAGCCAATGTTGCAGCATTTGTGAATCAGTGTCCCTGCTTAGGCTGCCGTAAAACAAATGTTTCATTTCAGAGTTCAGTTAAACCTTTCCCGCAATCCGTTACACATGCGGTGATAGGGTGTGTTAGTAAGCTTTCTTTGTTGCCTAGCAACCTGATGACCTCTTTCATAGAGGTGACACTTAGAACAGTGAACTTTATTTTCTTTAGGGTTTCCTAGTGGCATAGTCAACAAGAGTTGAAATGTAATGCTGTGCAGCTTTGATCGCTGGTACAATGGGTCCTATTAGGTCGATCGTCACTTGTTTGAAAGGAACATCATCCAATGGAATCCTCTGTAATTTCTACACGTTTCATCCCGCCAAGGCAACTCTAAATTCCTCCTAATATGATAACATCATCTAGACCTGTTTACTCTTATGATTTTGGCGTACAATGTATGATTTTGAGGTGTATAAACTATATACTGAATGTTTATTTTTTACTATTAAGATAATGTATTGAACGATTTTAAGAATTTCGGGGTAAACAGGTCTGTATCATCTTTGCTGGTACTTGGTATTGTGACCTACATCATAGCAAAAGTGGTTGTCCTATCGCCTGAATTGACTCTGTCTCATTGCCTGACCCATGCATGCCCTGTTTCACTTTTCTTTATCGGTGAGCCTCCAGTGACGTCAAGAGTTCATTAAGGTTGAGATTTATGAATAGCTACAAAAATTTGATTCGATTGTTGAAAATATCACAGATTTTTTTACAACAGTAGCCAGCCACGTTAAAACATATTACAGCCACCATATCACTTATCTAATTAGCCCCTCTGTTGTCTGCTCACAGGGACTGAGTCACAGAGCCACCAGATGTCACAAAATGGCTATTATGGAAGATAGTTTATTTTTTGTTCATTCCAGTCCCATTTTGTTATTTATTGACATCAGATGAAACCGATCCGGCTATGTTTGGCTAAACATGTGCAGTAAGTAGTAAGTTTCATACATCTTACTGCATGTTTATTAGTTTTAAACCCATTAAAAAAAAAAATTTTTTTAACATTCTCTAAAAATTTACATTTTGCAAAAAATTAACAAAGATAATTGGTTTCAAAACTGATAAATGGAAATTCAATAATTGTTTAGTATCCTGTAATAAAATTTCAAATGAACATGTTTCAAATAAAATTAAGGAATTTTAACCCTGTTAACAAACAAGACCCATGATGTCTCATCTGTCGCAAACTCAATACTTGGCTGCCTTTGTCAAAAATTCAACTGTCCCTTTTTTTAAGATTTTGTTTCTGCAAAAACTCTGGTCTAGAAAAAAAAAATCTCCTAAATATCTTACTCTGTAAAAAAAATTAACTAGGAAATTATAGATAAATATTGTGAGATCTATAAAAAGATGCACTTGGAACAATTTTTAATTATTTTTTAATTGTTCGAAACATATAAATTAAAAGCTGAATGCTAAAATCAACAGATGCAAAGCTTGGTAAAAAATGGTGTATGCCTGCAAAAACATTTTTAAATGTTGTAACATTCATCACCACAATTTAATCAACATCAGTAAAAAAAAAAAAAAATAAATATATCATATAATAACCCTATATACTTATAAAAAAAAAGCACTTTGATGCATAAAAACATTTGTTAGTTAAAAGCATTAACACATGAGGAAAAGTAAGAGATCATAGACTTATTCAAAGTCAGTGCCCAGTGCATTGTTTAATAAATACAGGATCTTTCTTGCTTCTATACAAAATCATGCCAATATAAATTAATTTTTCCATACCACATTTCAACAACTTTTCATCATAAAAAACATTTTTACAAGACAATGATTATATGGTTCAATAAAAAAATAATAATTTTAAAATACGTCAGTATTACAAAATTAACCTGTTGTTTAGCTTTGGTGTAGGCCACCATCAAGCCGGTTCATTGACAGCAAGTATCTTCCTTAGGTCTGCCCTGCTGGCCAGCCACAAGGCAGCCGGCAATAGTATAACATTACCAGTCCTCAGTGGCCCGTATATAAGAGCCTCTACGCCGTAGGCATTAGGGAATTCTGTCAGCGCCAGGTGGGCCGTGAAAGCGAACAGGACAAGTGACGGGAGCAGGACTGTTGGGTGCTTAAAAACCGAGGACCTTGACCCGTTCATGCGCCTCATGTCCAGAAGATGACCCAACAGTACGGTCAGTGGAACGGTGAAGGTGATAAACTGTCCGAATGGTAATAAAAAAAAAATCAAACATTTCTGACAGGTCACAGTTCATATAAAGCCTAACTACAAGAGTATCATACAGTGTGTTCCATTTTCTTACTTTGCAGGCAGAGACAAGTTAACATTTCATTGGTATGTTTTACATAAACTTTAAGTTGTGAAGAAATACTACACTTGCTTGACTGGCCACATTACATCGTTTTACTATAGTTAAACTATTATCAATTCATGAATATTTTTATAGATTGTACCTGGAAGATCCCATAGAAAAAAGTGAGGCCTCCGGGTATGAACGATCCATGGATAATGATACCCCATACAAAGACCACACCCAACTCATTGGTTATTAAGTTAGCCACAAACCAGGGACCTGTACACCAGTGAAGATAATGAGGGTTTAAAAGGGCATAAAATACTGGCATCATCACAAATACAGTCAAGTGACAACACAAACGATTCGCATCATCACAAACACAGTCAAGTGACAACATAAAAATATTTTTTAAAGAAAGCAAAGTATTTGTTTATACATGAGTTAATACATTATTCAAAGGGATATTGACACCCATTTTGAAATACATAGAATATTTTTAAAGGATATTTATTCAATATTAAATGCTAGTCACTTACCAAATGTTAAATATAGAACAGACCCTATCAAAATAAAGTAAGATACATTGGATCGGGCTGCAAGCCAGATTTTCATCAAAGCTGAATTGAAAGCCATATTTTGAATGTCATTCCCTAAAATAAAAATACAGAAATCAAATGTAGCCTATATATATATATATATTAAAAAAAGGAATTTTGTCCCTGTCAACCAACAAGAACCAATGTCTAGCCTGTCGCAAACTTAAGAATTAACAGCCTTTTATTTAAGACAATAAGGGAAATAACATACGAACCTGTATACAATAAACTAGTTGATTTGTTCATGCGGCTCCTCTTGGTGACACATACTACACACCAAACCCCAAAAAATTGGTCGTGCGCAACGGTTTACCAATACCATGGCTGTCTACCCGTAAGGTATTGTCCACTATAACATTTTGTTTCATCCTTTAATCTAATATTGAAGTATATAATGATACTTTTTATTTCTGCCCATTACTTGGTGCTGTGAGAGGCTTCCGGGTCACAGTACATAATTCATGAACCACTGTCAGCTGTCCCCTCTGGTAGTTAATAAGTTAACTACAATCAAACCTTTTCAAAATGTCTGCCACGGTTTCATTCATTTTTATTCTATATCACTCCACCAAGGTTTAAATTAACTCACAGCCCATGTGTAACTTGATCAATTCGCCTATGAAAGTACTGCAACTGACCTTTCAAATAATAGTGGCGAATGCATGTCGACTGCCTAATTGATGTCAGTATAAAGGTGTAGAGAAAAACCAAGATGCCAAATGTTAGCTTAGCCTGCAAAAAAATAAAGCCAAAAATAGCAAATATGTAACAAATCTTAAAACGGCTAAAAAGTTAAACATTTGATTTCAGAGGTTTCAGAAATAAAAAATATAATATTTTTATTAGGACATACTGTGACGTCAACTTCTAGGTATTTGTTTGGCTAGTTAAAAATTAAGCCTTTTAAAGAAAATTTAATTAGTAGTCAGGAAAATGGCTTTATCATTAAAATTTTCGAATTAAAAAGCATGACTGAGTAGGCCCTCACATAGATAACAAGAGTGGGGTTAGAACTAGAAGTTTAAACCTTTCCTGGCCAAAAAGAATATAGTAATATTTTCCTACCATTGTGTAAATATTTAACATTAGAATGAGCCGTGGCAAGAACTCAAACTGTTTTTCAGTTCCATCTACTGAGAACGTCTGTGATATGGTCACGTTTTTTCCAGCTTCATCCTAGGAAAGCAAAATAAACCACAAAAAAAACTGAGTGGCATTATAGTCAGCTATTATACTTAAAAAAATAAATTTGCACCCGTTAGGAGTCCAACAAAATTTTGCTGAAACATGTTTAACCGATTCAAGTCTGTAGTTCCCGAAAACACTGCGCTACCAATTTAACCCTGCAATGGTTGAAGTATGCCCCCCGCCAACCCCCCCTCCCCCCGACATGGTGTTACACATAGCGAAAACATTTATGAACGGAATTCATGTAATTTCTACCACACCTATCACACTTACATTTTTAAAAACCAAACTATGTTTAACATGGAATTTTACTCTTTATTGCCCTCAGTTCAATGGGTAACATACATTTAATGGATCAAAGATGAACTCTTAAATTCACTGTTTTAAAAATACCCTATTTTCTGCGAAAAATTGCCTCCAAAATTCACGTGCCTCTTATACTTGAAATCAATATAAAAATGGTAAAAAATATTATTTTTTAAAAAAATTGCTTAAAAATTAAGGTGTGTCTTAAAGTCTGTAGCATCTTATAGTCCGTGAAATACAGTAGCGGATTTCAATCCATTCATTATACAAAAAAAAGTGTTTTTTTAAAAGTCTTAACTTAATTACATCCCTTCTAGCCATCTCTATCATTTTAATCTTAGTTTAGCTGACAACAGATAAACAATTAAGTATTTACCAAAACTTGGACTCGTATAGTATGTATGCCATGGGAATATTTTTCTGGCTGCCAGCCAAGCACATACAAAGGTTGTCCAGCCCCGGCTTGTAGAGCCTCTTCTCTTGGACGGTCATCAATGCTGACCGTAACACCCTTGATTCCAGTGGGGCTGAATGCAAGGATTCTGGGAACACAGAGTTTAAGTCATAAGGGGGGAAAAAGTCTTCCAAGAATGTGAAGTTTTAATCATTAATTTAACTTTTTTGTTCAACACCTCAGGTTGTTTGGAGTGAGCTTACACTTTTTTTTATAACATAGCTTCTCCTAAAATTTGTATTTAATATATATTATATCCAAGCCTAAATGTGCTTTAATGTGATGTAATAATTTAGACATCACTAAAAACTTGGGATCTCCTCTCTGCGATCAAGTGACGGAGAAAGCAACAAGGTGACGGAAACCCTGAACTCCTTTAGCTTTTTAAAACACATTTGTGTTACAATCTTTCATACCTTATGTGAGTGGATGACTCGATCAAGTGCAAGGGTTCCACCCTAGGTGAATAGAGCATGTTGCTTTTAGGGTTTGTGATCACAGCTAAAGGCCAGTCTCCGAGCTTTGCATCCGTGAAAGACAGAAGGTCATGGTCCATGGCTAACAGGCGATACCTGTAAAAGGTAAAAAAAAGAAAAAAAAATATGTAGCAAAGAAAGAAAGGTGAATTTTTCTTTTTTAATATCGTGCAACATGTTGGTTAGATCCTCTTTTAATAAACTGAAAAACAGAAAATCTTTTAATATGTTTAAGTAAACTGCTATTTCATTTGAATAAGGTGAATATGTATTAAACAAAAATTATTGAACATTTACATGTGTTTATAAATATTTATATTCTTATAGACATGGAACGTACACTCTGTTTTCCTTCCAGTCTCCGAGTTCCAGCTCCAGCTGCCCTGTTTTGTGTCTGCTGTACATCTTGGGTACGTAACCCATCATTGTGTGCAGGTGGCCACACAGGTAAGCAATACTGTTGCTGTGAACAGATGGTAAACATATAGAGTTCTTAAGTGTCTCTTGTCTAGAGAAATCGATTGATGTCAGTATATTTCATCATATTGTCATTTTTGTGTTGAAACAATGATTTAAGATTCACTAATAATATTGTGTAATATAACATGAAATAAGTCTAAGATAATACCAAGTTAAAACAAAATATATAGAGATTTATTTAGGCCCAGTAAACCTGACTCCTGTTGACATTATGTGTTAAAAATGATATGCCATTTAAAAATGCAGTAAATTAAATACATAAGGTAATAATTAATTCATTAAAACATTTTATTTTTAAAGCCGATTTCTTACAATTGCTGCCATAAGAGGCCCTTTGTCAAACTTCAAAAAAAAAAATGATTTTTAGGGAGATACTCCCCCCCCAAAATCAAGACACAAACAATTTTGAATGACATATCAACTTTAGAACACTGTCCTTAACACTGATGGATCCTAATGGACTTGTTTTACCCAGACTTAAGGACAGAGCAGATGTAATTTTAATTAAACCTCATGATTTGTCGTAGAGCTGGAGGGTCATGAACTATGAGAGATGTCGGGTAGTGACCCAACCAGATTGTCTGATTACTTGATTTGGTGAGTGCTGCCAGAGTCTTGATATATTGGATCTGTGCCTGTCATGAGAAGTTTTTTTTCAAACAATTAAAATACATTTTTAACCACTATTTTATCATAAATTTGATAATAAACATAATGAATGGATTTAATTTATCATTGTTCTATTGGAATTTCATCTACTGAACTAAAGACTGTAATGACTATTTATCATTGTTATATGGTTATTTCCAAACCAAAATGAGTGACTGCACATTTGAATAAATAACAAAGTAGAATGTTCTTTTTTTTACAATCTCTGATTATGTGACAACTTAGGATAAGAAATTAATTGAATAAGTTAAAGTCTCATAAGAAAGAGCAAAACTTACATCATCAAGGTATCCAAAAAAATTAAATGGCCTATGGAGACCTGGTTTGCTGCAGGCATCCATTACAATAAAAGAATATGTGCCGAAGGGTAATTCGTGTTGGTACAGGTATGTACCGTGGTGGTCATCTGCTGTTTGTACATTTTTACCAGAATGAAACCTGAAGAAAAAAAAACCTTCATGACTCAGTATAAAATAAAATATAATATGACAGACAACAAACTATTTGCAAATAATACACTAATATCACAAGGTAGGGGGGGGGGGGGGGGGGGGGGGGGGGGGGCTCAATTTTAGGTGGTGAAGAGACCTAAATAATGTGAGTCTATGTGGATGACGCAGAGAGGGTGTTGCCCGACTGAGACAAATCCTTGATGGGCATGACCAACTGGAGCACAGCAGGGTGTTAAAATTGCATTACTTACCTATAAAAATTGTTTTCACTTTCAAAGTTAAGAACATTAAACGAATCTGTGGAAAAATTAAAAACACTGTCAACTTAATTAATTGACTTGAAAGAAAACACATTTTTAAAAAAAAACATAAATGTTTTTAAAAGTTACTGAACCCCAATTTTTTACATGCCGCAAAATTCAGCCTCTCACCATGATTTCCCCTTAGATCCAACCACTTGGCTTTATTAAGTGATCTACAGCGCTTGATGATCTGCTCATATTGAATCCATTCATCCCGAATTTGCATTGATTCAATTCCATCTGGTCTCTTAGCATCTGTAAGGTCACCTGAATAAACAAAGAAGAAACAGTTTCTGAAGTGAATTTTTCACTACAATATTTCAATGCTTCTGCTCACCAAACCAAATCAATTTTGGTATCTGCGCACACAGCAAAGAGTGACTACTCAAGTATTGATGCATGTAGAGCAAGCGTACACTGTTTTTCTTTAACTCTACCTTCATCAGGTGAGACCTGGTTCAAGATTTATATCTAAACAGAACACTACTGATCAGGAATCACTGTTTAGTTTTCTCTCAAATCAGGCATGTCTAGCTAAAATTCCATTTGACGCCACAAACTTGACTTTTTGTTTGTAGCCTTCTCATACAGAAAAGCAGTGTGTGCGATTCACCAAAATTTGAAGGTAGACCAAACCAATTCCTACTTGAAGAGACCAACATTTGAAGGTAGACCTAACCAATTCCTACTTGAAGAGACTAAAATTTGAAGGTAGACCACACCTATTTCCCCAAAATTTGAAGGTAGACCCCACCTATTTCACCAAAATTTGAAGGTAGACCACACCTATTCCTTCTTAAAGAGCCGTAGTACAATTACTGAAGTAAAGAAACATAAACTTACCTGTCACAAGTACAAGCTCAGGATTAATAGTAATAATGTATTCATCACAAAACTGCTGCAGATCTGGACCACGGGCAAGATCTCTGAATTTACTAAGGTGAAGATCTGAAATCTGTTCAATAAAGAATCATGGGTACATTGTAGAGGGCTGGCTACCCAATCGTGGTTGCAATTATATTTTTTGGTGTGTCTTTATTGGTGTTCATTTATGATTTAAAATGGACAAAATTTACTTATTTTCAATTTAACCCTCTTGAGATGGAGCCCTTTTAGACTGTTGGTGCCAAGAAGAGGGAACCCATTTCTCAAGCATAGCATTTATATAATTTACATACTACTTTACAAATATAAAACTACATATAATCTTGTAGGGAATGGAATGAAATATGATCAAACTGAAAAATCAACATAATTTATGCAAATTATTTATTCTGATTTGCATAATTTATGCATTTTACACTTAGTATAAACATGTCTTCCTTGCAGAATTTTCTTAAATTTAAATTTTATGATTGTTGAAGCCTAAAAAAGTCCTAACAAACATTTGAATGAGATTCAATAAAAACTGCATAAAATATTCCCCTGGGCCTAGAGCTGCTGATGCCTTTTGGTATATTTCAAGGTCACATATGATTTAGGCATTTATAATTTTTAAGGGTCACTAGGTACACACACACACAAAAATTGACAGAACACCCTTATCTATTAATGCAAGCCGCCAATAAATGGTGAGATGAGCAAGAAATGCAAGAAGCAATCCGACTAGCTGGTACAAAGACCCGCCAGAGATTGAATTGGGGAGATAGATCAGCCTTTAGTCGTTTTCACCATCACACTCTGAGACGATAGTCCAATGCCAATAGATGTGCCCAGCCGTTTCAAGAGGGATAAAAGTTTTATTGTTTAAAAAGTAAATAAAAATATGGGATTTTTAATTACAGCCTAATCATAAATCATAATGATGGAGCATGACTGATTAACTTGGCTGCCATGCTAATTATTTCCCTGCATGAACTCAAAGAGACACTGAACATCTATTCCCAGTAATGAAATGCATGTCATATTGCAATTGGATCAAAGCATTTCATCAGAAAATACTATAGCCTACAATTACAATTTTACAGTATAGTATAGTATTAAGTATATTTTATTATAAGTATAATACTAAATAATAGGCATGTAATATATCTTCTGAGTGAGAATAAGGCTCAGTAAAGTAAATAAAAGTTAGAAAATGGAAAGAAACTTGCCACTGTGGTATTATAAAATAAATACTTTTAAGTAAACAATGAAGACCCACCTGAATCATCCAAAACAGGTTCCTCATCTCTCCTCCCAATTTAAGAGGGTTTTCATTTTTTCTGTCTTTAGTTTCAGACTCAAAGTCGAATGGATCTTCATTGCCATGATAATCAACAACTGAATCTAACATTGATAATAAAACTGACATAACTATTGCTACAACAGTTCCAAATATAAAACAAATAGCGATGCAACGCATTTCTGAACTGGTATTTTAACAATATCTCTTTAAACAAACAAACATTACTGGTAGCGGCGTTACTGAGTGTACAAACCCTTATTTTGATACTGCTGAGTGTGGACTGCTAGAGTTATGGGTCACACTTTTTACCGAAATAAGATGAAATGAGATTAATCCGAGATAAATACTTTTGATAACTGGAGTTTTAATTTATTTTAAGCAAGTGGTAAAAATACAAAACAGAAACTTTGTAGTAAATTAAAATAAAATTTAGCACATCACATGAAATTAAAATATCTTTTTTTTAAAACTTATTTTAAAAATTAAGCATGCAATAATTCAAAATAGACAGTGGGTTGTTGAAAAAAAAATGTAAATTGTGACTTAAATTCAAATATCTTCTCCAAGAGCGGGAGGAGTTGGGAACAAAACTCTTATTAAGTTGTTTATTACTGGAGGCACCACAGTACATAGTAATTTAAATAAAACCTGCAAGGTCAGCCCCCCCCCCCCGGCTCTACCCAAATGACATCCCTTTGCCTTAGCTCTCGAACTTTAAGGTCATAGCTGACGAATTAGCAGCCAGCTCAAGCTGTAAATAGGCTCCATTTGTTTATGCCTTTTACCCCGCGTAGGCCATGGACTGTCTACAAGAATTTTCCATTCATCTCGGTCCTGTGCTTTCCAGTTGCTTACAGCTGTACCCATACTTTGTGTGTCTTCCTCTAGCTCGCCACTTCATGTATTCTTTGGCCTTCCTCTCTTTCTTTTTACCTGTGGATTCCATATTAGATATTTTCTGAAGATGTTATTTTCTTTGGTTTTCGAAAAGTGTGCCCTATTCACCTCCATCTTTCCCTGATGATGTCGTTAGCAATTAGCCCTTGGTATGTCCTCCTCTGTAAGTCTTTGTTGGCGATGTTTGGTCATTTGCTGTTCATCATCTTTCTATGGCAAGTTTTTATTTTTTTTTATTTTAAGAGAATTTAAAACAAAGTACAAAGAACCTTGGGCTGGAGAATCAACTCATTCATTTATAGAAATCATCATGATCATGCTGATAAAGGAAATTGTTGAAAGATTTGTGTGTGGAAGCTTGAATTGAAAGACACGACAATTAGACAGGAACGGTTCGGCTAAGAGCCTTCGGAACCATACAGGGCATATGAAAACAGGACAAGAAATAGAAACAAGTTAAAAACTTAAAAGTGATCTTCATTGTTATTGGCGAAGTAAAATGTTAGACGAATATATTCCATAAAATTAGTCACGTGTATGGACACAAATGTAAAGAAAGAGAATAATGAAACCTTTGGTAATATTTGAAAAATCTAATTATTTATTTCAATTTCGTATAACTAAGCATAAAATATTATGATTATTACCATTACAGTGATCTTAAATAGATTGGGCTCACCGTGCTTCACTTTAAAATATTAGCAAACACAATCATGACATTAAAAAAGTGATATACATTTATTTAATTAAACAACAGCTTTGTAAAAAAAAAAAATATGCACCACGCCCACCCTATAACTATTTACCGGTACACGCCAAGCTATGGACGGCACCCAGCAGCATCGTTTCTCGGTCAGTGGGGTAGTCGAGTTTGAACAGTGTGTCTTGACTAAACGTTAAACAACAGTGAATACTAAACAACAGTGAATACTAAACAACAGTGAATAATAAACAACAGTGAATATTAAACAACAGTGAATACTACACAACAGTGAATACTACACAACAGTGAATACTAAACAACAGTGAATACTACACAACAGTGAATACTAATCAACAGTGAATACTAAACAACAGTGAATACTAAACAACAGTGAATACTACACAACAGTGAATACTAAACAACAGTGAATACTACACAACAGTGAATACTAAACAACAGTGAATACTACACAACAGTGAATACTAAACAACAGTGAATAATAAAACAACAGTGAATACTAAACAACAGTGAACACTAAACGACAGGGACCACTAAATACAGTGTATACTGAACTACATTGAACACTAAACAACAGGGAACACTAAACTACAGTGTACGCTAAACTATAATATACACTAAACTGCAGTCAACACTAAACTACATTAACACTAATCGACAATGAACACTAAACCACAATGAACATTAAACCACAATGAACACTAAACCACAGTGAACACTAAACCACAATGAACACCAAACCACAGTGAACACTATCCAGGACAGAAGGGCTACAACGTCTGCCGCGCCACCGTTCGATAGAACCAATCCAATGCACGCCACTGATTAAAACATTCTTGAAATACGAGATCGAGTTATTGTTGCACATACCCTGCAGCAGCTCACACACTGAATTAAACTAACCTAACAGATTTGTAGCACACCGTTCTGTGGTTAAGTTGCATGGCTCTCGGCTTAGGGGTAGTGGCACGGCTTAGAGGTAATGACACGGTTTTGGGGTAGTGGCGCGGCCTAGAGGTAATGGCACGGCTTAGAGGTAGTGGTACGGTTTAGGGGTTGTGGCACGGCTTAGAGGTAATGGCATGGCTTAGGGGGCAGTGGCATGTCTTAGGGGTAGTGGATTAATAAGACGCAAACAAATTGTGTCAATATAACAATATAAGTTACGCCTTAATAATAATTATAAATTATACACAAGTAAACGTTTCGGCACATGCCTTCATCAGTACAAACAAAAACAAAAAACACACTTAATAGACGCAAACAAATTGTGTCAATATAACAATATAAGTTACGCCTTAATAATAATTATAAATTATACACAAGTAAACGTTTCGGCACATGCCTTCATCAGTACAAACAAAAACAAAAAACACACTTAAATAAGTATAAACTAAATGTACATAATATAAATATACATATGCTACCTAAAAAAATTTAAAAAAAATTGGAGAGGGCGCTAAAACTAGACAAAAACAAAGTAAAGAGGAGTAGAAAGGAAGTGATTTGAACATAATTTTAAAAACCAATTTTTTATACTTAGGGGGATTGGTACGGTATAGGGGTAAGGGCACGGTTTAAAGTTAATGGTACGGTTTAGGGATAGTGGTACAGCTTAAGTGAAACGTTTTAGAGGTAGTGGCATGGCTTAGAGTTGGTGGCACGTCTTAGGGGTAGTGGTACGGCTTAGAGGTAGTTGCATGGCTTAGGGGTATTGGCACGGCTTAGGGGTAGTGGCACGGCTTAGGGGTAGTGGCACGTCTTACCCACCACGTGACTTTTGGAGGGCCCCCCTCCCCTTGCCACTTTTCGTTTGTGTTGCTCCTGCATTCAAAGTTGAAAGTCTGCATTTTTCCACCTCACGTCCTTGGGCCCCTTTATTATCCGAGGCAAGGTTGCAGGGCCCACGTGACGACTCAGGAGTTCTAGGTTTGAATTTAATCTATGGTCATCCCGAGGTATGGAGAAAATAAGGGGGCTTGGACGTGCTGACCCTGTGAGGCAACTTTATTTGGGGAGGAGAAAACAGTGCTGAACAGTGCTAAAAATAACTTGCTGAAGTCGGAAGTACTGACCCGGTTTCGAGGTATGGAGAAAATAAGGGGGCTTGGACGTGCTGACCCTGTGAGGCAACTTTATTTGGGGAGGAGAAAACAGTGCTGAACAGTGCTAAAAATAACTTGCT